GCGATCAGTTTATTTTTTATTCTCTCTCTCCCCTGTATTTAGGGAACCACCGGCTGAATAACCCCCGAATGCAGAGATGTTACTTGACTCGTACTTGACTCGTTCTTGACTCAAGACCGTCTTGCCGGTCGCCATAAATCGTTCTCGAACTTGCGGATGACTTGAAGGCGACTTGGCTCGGTCGAAGTCAGGACAAGTTTCAAGTCAGCTGCGGGGCTTGCTTGAAAGCGACTTGACGTGTTATTCCAACATGGCCACCTCTCGAATGGACGTCGCGTGAAAGGTGGCCGCTTTTGAGTTTGCTTGCCTCGCCATAAGCGTAGCATTTTTTGAGGCGTACTGCCTGCCGAAGATTCTTGGAACCGCTTTACGTGACCAAGGAAATCCGATGGAGTTGTCCGACGAGCAACAATTCCACGCTAGGTACAGATTCATGAAGAAGGCCGTGGGGCAGCTGCTCGTTATGTTGCCGCTCCGTGAAAGTGGGGACAACCGAAGACAGCCTGTGCATCCAGTGTTACAGCTACTGATGGCTCTCAGGTTTTACAGCGCTGGCACATTCCAGCCAGTCACCGGAAATTTCGTCCGCATTCCGTAGTCGACAGTGTGCCGTGCAGTCGGAAAAGTTACGCTACTCATCGCAAAGCACCTGTACGCGATGCTGGTGCGCTTTCCGCTGCCGGCGGACTGTTATGAAGTGGCTGAGTTCCCTTGCGTGACAGGTTGTGTCGACTACACACACGTGCGTATTAATAGCCCCGGTGTCGACAACGCCGAAGTGTTCCGTAACCGCAAAGGCTATTTCTGTTTTTCTATAACACGACGACACTTTCCGTCTCTTTCGGTAAAAAAAAAAAAAAAAAAATTGACTCGGTGCTGTGTCCGTGTGCCTCGTCTATCCTTTCGTCCCGTCTAGGGCGCTGTTTCTCGCTCAGAAAGGCATCGCTTGTAGCACAACGCTACGTAAAATTACACACACACGCAAAAGAGGTGCCCCTATCACGGGTTTTTTAATCCGCGTCACCATCATGCAGCGATACATTGCTGCACCCCGCGAGACAGAATTCTGCTGAGGGCAATGTCCTGACCCCCGCTTTTTCTCTTGTTTACCAAGCTCAACAAAAGGATACGAATCACATTTGTTCCCAGAACTTGTTTTTTTTTTCATAATAACTGCGACCTAGCCCATTACAGGCATGCACACAGGCGAACAGAGGCAAATACCGTGAAAATCGCGTCACATCGTGAGCCAGGTCAGCACAAATACATGCCATGGCGTTCGATTGAGAAAAAAAAAAAAAAAAAACGACGAAAGAACCCAACGCGATGCTTGTTTCTCCTCCAAACAAGCAACCATGGAGAAACGCACCGCATTTGGGTGGCCACTAAAACCAGCGGGCAACGAACGCTCTACAGAAGCAACACTGCGCATCGCTGTGGCGGCAGGCACCACCTGCCGCTCGTTAGCCGTAAAATGGCAAGAATATGCTTGTGGCCCTTCGTTTTTATATTTATTTTAAAACGTATGGTCTTTTTTTGGTGTAATGCGTGCCTTACGCAAACAACTTCATTATTACCCTCGTTAGCAGGCGAGCAGCGTGTTTCTGCTTTGAAGCTCGTTCTTGACTTGACCAAGCAAGACAGCCTGAGCATCTATGAAACGCGAAGGCTGACTTGGGCGTTTTGAAGTCCGCTGCTTGCTTCACGCCGACTTGCTCAAGTTAAGTTGAAGTCGCGAGCCAAGTAACATCTCTGCATTCGGGGGTTATTGTTTCCATTGCGTAAATACTGCAGCTAAAGCCTACACAAGCTTATGCATAAGCCACTCCACTTCTAATAACTCTATTACATGCCAGAAAACCATTAAATATTAGCCATATAGCTTTTCACTACTATGTAGACCGCTTGAGCAATGCTGTAGAGACGGACACTAACAAGTTTATTAACTGACCTATAGTGCTGAAGAACCTATTCAACTTAATGCGATTATTTCAACTCATTACAAAACGTCAGGTTTCACATGCCTCCTGGAATCAAGTGCTTAAGTGCCCTTGAATCTTGAAGCCAATACCATCACATATCCGCTTTCACCTTTGTTCAGATGCACAACAGCGACATTACTCTATTTCCATGTTAGGACACATTAACTGGAAATCCTCACGTGGACATACCTAATGCTACCGCTTACAGGCCATTACTACCACTTACCTTACTACCATTACTACATTACTACCACTTACATCATAGTAGGATGGGACCCACACACTGAAAAATAAACTTCATGTCCTTGAACTTGGTCAAAATATTTTAGGTTTCCTTCGATCTTCAAAACCACAGCTGCCGCACACGTTCAGTTGCAGTGTAACCAAAGCTCTCCTGGGGCATAAATAAATATCTCAAAAGGAGTGTTGGCCCTTGACATGCAAGCCCTGTGCAGGATTGTTCCTTGCAGGAACCAGTGCCAGGGCATCCCTAATTCATAAAGAGTTGCTGTAGCATACCGAAGCGATCTCTGATAAAGAAATGCGGATGACTTCAGAGTGTTGGGGTTCAATGCGAATAAACATTCTTGGTTGAGGGCTATTTAATTTTTCCCATTTCAATCAGATTTAATCAGACTGACTAATTGCAGCTGGACATACACCTAAAATAAGTTGTATGCAAATTTGCACTGAATTTGTGGCCTACTGAGTAAGTAGGCCTCTTGTTTTCAGATTGATTTTTTTTATTGAAACACATTACTATTTTAGCTTTTGTCATTTCATTTTCGCATTCATCATTTCATCATTTTTCATTTTTATTTGATAGATTCTTTCAACGTGTTTTATTCCTTCGCATTTTGTCTACGTTCATTACTTCAAAGCTCAAATTGGCTATGCTCTACCTCTGGGACAGACTTTCCTTTCTCATGACTGGAGACCACATTTATAGGCACTAAAAAACTGGGTTTTAGGCACCAAAAATAGGCAAGCAAGGCACTGTTCTAGGCCCCCCAAATCGTAAGTATAGATACAATAAACTTCGACAAAATTCCGAATTTTCGAAGAAATATGTGTGGGATATGTGTCTACGACAGGAAAGCAAACAGGAATGTTCTAGTTTATGATGGCACAAAGGCCATGCAATACATAGACATGCAATTTTTTTCTTTGCAGGGTTTGCAGAATTCAGTCTCTCCTTTTTTGGCCCAGCATAGTGAGTAAAGTATCCACTATGGAATAAACTTACTCCTGGGTCTCTTCTTTACTGCATGAGTGAGAAGGACAACACGGAAGCAAATAGCCAGAGCGCTAATAGGCCAGAAGGGTATTTTGGCTCGTATTAATGGGCTAACTGCTCTGAGTCAATTTTTCTTGTCAGTGAACAGCTTAAAAGCCCTTCCCAAGGTTTGAGAATTTCGAGCAAGCAAGGAGAATGCATTGCTCCGATACGAAAGAGAGCAAGGAAAAATTTGGCTTGGGAAATCTACACCCGTTGAGTGACAATGGTTTCAAAGCTCACCTTCTCGCATCATGCTTTCACAGTTTGTAATGAACCGTAAGGCTGTCTCTCCATCCGCACCCCTCCTCTTGCCGTAGGTGTTGGAGCAGTGCCAAGTAGCTCACGCCCTTTTAGCAGTGCGAGTGACGTCTCTCCCTCGCCTGCCACGTGCTCACCGCGTGTCAGCTCTCTCTCGCTTCACCCTCTCCATTGCTCGCAACGCTAGACCCCACTCCTTACGTGGGCATCACCTCACCTGTACCACCTCTCCACCTGTCGACGAGAAGAAGCCGCAAGCTGGTGGGTGCGTGCGCTAAGCGAGCCTCTAGAATTTCGCGACACCGACAATGTGGACAGCGCACCGCTGCTTGCCGCCAATTCGCACAGATTGGTGGGACATCGTCGCGGCAGGCTGCCCGCTAGTTGCGCGTACCGATCCCAGCGTTGCGAGGGTTAGCGAAGACGATCACGTTCACGAATGACGACATCAACACCGACGAGGCGCAAGCCAGGGAAGCCGAACGCAAGTGTCGGCAGCAGAAGACAAGCGACACCGACGTCTTAAAAGCCCTTCCCAAGGTTTGAGAATTTCGAGCAAGCAAGAAGAATGCATTGCTCCGATACGAAAGAGAGCAAGGAAAAAATTTGGCTTGGGAAATCTACACCCGTTGAGTGACAATGGTTTCAAGCTCACCTTCTCGCATCATGCTTTCACAGTTTGTAATGAACCAATTAAAATGTTCTAGTGGTACAAAGCTTTTCATTGGGCATGCAACTTCCAGTGTTTAAGTAAATATTCTCATGTAACCTAGTGAAGCGTCATTTAAGAAGTAACCGACAAAGAAAACAAAAATCACGTGGCCATGTTTTTTTTCCATCTCCACTCTTTCTCCTGATGACACTCTATGGTTTTGCATTCATTATTCAACGTTCTACAGCTGCATAGAAGCACCTCCTGTTCCCTATGCATGCGAGCAGAAGCTGGGGAGATGCCGAGCAGACCACTCAATGTGAATGATTACATGTGTAGAGGCTAATCAGCATTCCTATTGGCTAAGAGGCCTTTTAACCTTGACAGTGCTGAAAGGAACACATGAGTATAGGATGCAACCCATAGAGTTTTGAAAGCTCATTTTTGCCTGGTAACACGAATGCTGGTCTCCAACTGCACTTGAAAGCAAAATTACAATCTATATAGCATTCATATAGGCACTGATATTGAAAATAGACATTTATACACACTATAAAACACTATAAAAGCTCTTCTTAACCTCTTAATTCATGCTCATATATCAAAGTGGCACGATAGGAACGTAAGAAACAAAATAGGCATTTGCCTATAATCTGGTCTCTACTCATGTCTAACATACTTCCCAGGGTGCTAGCCATGTAGAGTAGTGCTCATGCAGTAGAATGAGCAAATGCAATGCTATAATTATGAAATTTGCAGGAGTGTGGTAAGATATAATAGGACATGCAACACCATGAGACCTGACAGTTCTGAACAATGCAAGACTTACTCTTTTCGATCTCTGAAAGAGTTGCTTGCGCCCTGGAGAAGTCAAAGAGCTTGCTGAAGTAGGTCAGCTGTCTGTAGAGATCTGATACCTTGTACTGAAAATTAAAAAAAAAAAGTGCAAAAAAGGTTACTATTACGAGTTCCTGCTTTACTTAGAAGAACATTAAAAGAAAGCACTAAATCAGGCTAGGTTGGCAGGTTACTGGTTATTCATATGGAGCACTTGAGGGACGTGCTTGTTAAAAAGAGGCTGACCTCTAGTGGGGTACACAAGTTTTATGTTTCATGCAAGAATTATTCTGCAATAATGCATATAGTATTTTCACCCACACAGATCCTGCTAGTGAAACAAGAGCAAGCAAACTTTTTACTCCTAATTTCTTTTACTTTTACTTTTAAATTTCCAGCTCACTTATATTGAAATAGGGTAGCTTAAGCGTAGGAAAAACAGCAAATGCAGAAAAAAATTTGTGCTTTAGTAAGGCCCCCCTATGAGCTCGATCTCTTGCCCCGAGGTAGCGAGGAACTGCCTTTCCGAGTAGCACTAGCGCAAGATATACCAAGTGTGTGCGAAAGCCACAAGAAACAATTACACTCACCTCAGGTAGCATGACTGATCGTTGGCACGCCACACAAACAGGGCCGGACTTTGCGAAGGTCTGCGGCACCTGCCGGGTTCTGTGCCCACAACCAGAGTCTTCACAGACAAGCCAGCCCTAGTAATAAACAATGCAAAATTGAAGAAGTGAAGTGCAGATATCAGCCATATTTTTCAGCCAGGACGTGAATTGCAGTAGTGTATCAATTGATCATGCTTTTCATGTCCACGTGAAGAAGTAGTATTGAAGCACTGCAGAGCATATGAAAGTGACAGAACAGTTTATTTAGAGCACAGTGCAAACAGAGAGCCTGTTTGTACACTACTGCAAAACAACACTAACTCTACAAGTTCACATTTTTTGACTACTCTCGACTCGGGAAGTGCACAAAACTTTTACACTTTCCACACGAATAATGCAAATCACTTTTTTTCGTTGCTACGCTTTTCATTCCATACACTAGTGTATAACAGCGCACAAAAAAAAAAAAAGAAATGGAGGGAGGAGGCGGTTCAGCAAGGGTAGTTTTGTGTCCTTGGTACCAGTCGTTACGTTACTCCTGAGATTTCAAGCAACCCACCTCTCTGTGGCCTCCGTTGGTTTCTCATGTGAAGCCACATGTTTACTGCCAATAAGGAGCCGAGAAGTCGAACTTGAGTATTATGAATGCCTTTCATTAATAGGATGCTGCAAACAATAGTGTGGTGTGACAGTAGCTTTGCAGCATGGTCTTTCTTTCCACAATCACAGAAAGAATTTCCTGTAGAGAAGTTTAACCCATTTCCTGTCCCAATAGAATTTCAATACGAGTCTCGCGATGCCCCTTGGAAGGAGCCCATGTGGTTTTATGAAGTACTGTGTAGTGTTTAGCTTATTTATTCATAGAGTGGGATCTAATAAACCATGAGGCTGATAAACACAGCAGTGGAAGGCTCTGTGGTAATTTCGACTACATGAAATACAACTTGCAGACAGGTACACCCAAGTACTGCACAAGCATCTATGCATTGCATCCCCATTTAGATGTGGCTGCCAGAGTAAAAAATTGAAACCGTGCCTTTTCAATTGGCAGAAAATTGGTATAGCCAGTACTAGCAAAGACACAGTGATAATGAGACAGAAACAAGATGCTGTTGAATGCAGCCACACTGCATCCAGGCGAATAGAAACGCTACCTTTTCAGCTTTAAAGGTTCACCCTAAGACTAGATCCTGTATCGCTGCAGTGCACAAGAATTTCAGCAGCAGTAAGAAATTTCTTTAATTCAACTCATGCAGGAGGTCTCTTGGAAAGTTTATCATAATAGCACTGGCAAGTCTTGCCCTAGAAGACAATAGAAAGTTATTTTACTGTACTTACCAGGTAAAACTTCTGTATAAACGATCGAATAAGCAAAGTCATTTGATTGCAGAGAGCGTTTATGTAGCTGGACAGGTCAGTCTTGCAACCAGGACATGTCGCAAGACTAAATGTCAGGTTCTTTCCCTGAAAAAAGAAACGAATGGAAGCAACAGTCAACTTGGTGGTGCAACCACTTTCTCAAAAGGACATCATTCGCATAAGAACGTTCATGTTTTTGTGGGAGGTCAGCGATGATTATTTGTAGCTTACACATATAATTATTACACTTTTATGCATTTACACATTCACAATGTTTTTTTTTCTCTTCATTTCAAAACTTCCGATTCTCGGCAACATTGGCGAAAGAATTGACGGCCCACACGAAAAAAGTGCGAGCTCTTCATACACAGCAGCTCTCAATATTTTCAAGTACTACTAGTTCATGGAATTCTCGAATAATAAGAAAAACAATATCTACACTTACATGCAGACCGGTAGAAATTACAAAGTAAGGCTTTCTTTTAATGTGAGAGGACAGACATAACAATGCTACAGGCTCAATAAGTATAGTGCAATATCAATAACAGTGTCAATGGCACCCAATTGCGCTAGAGTTTACAACGAACAAGCATAGTTGCATAGCACGGTGTTAAATATATAGATGCAGTCCATTCCTTACTGGTGCACAAAACTGCCCACATTTTGAAGTGTGCACGCTTTCATTCGGACCATATTAAAGAATGGCTTATCCTAAGCTGACTAGTGCAAAAGTTTCACCTAGTTCCCACAAATTTGGTATGCTTTCCTTACGCTGTACTCCTCGTGAGGCTAACTGCATTTTGAGGGCCCTCACTTTCATCTTGAAAAGAAGGAGTCTACTGCTTCAGTCTATCAAAAACATAAAGAGGAACCTATTACTTACAGTTCCTTCAAAGATGTGTTCCACTGTAAGTGTGGAACTGCAGTTGTCAACAGGGCAGCCAAAGCTGATCCTCTGGCAATCCTTGTAATCATTCAGGTTAAGAGTCTTTGCCATGCTCAGCTTGGCACCAGGGTCATCGTCTCTATTGTAGCTGTGATTCCGGTACTGGTGCGGGTCCAAGCCTATGCAAATGGTCAGAATAACAGCACCGATAAGGTTCATTGCTTAACACCGTTGATTGTTTTTTCAATGTTGAAAGTCATTGAAGGATGTCCTTTACCACACTGTTATACACACGAGCATATCGCAATGTTTATGCCAACAGTAAAACTAGCATAGTGTACATTTAAGAGGCTGCTTACTGGTGCTTGTAACTTAACCACCAACATGGCATTAAAATGAATGTAAAGGCAAGCTACAAAAAACTAGAGGGCACTGTATCTTTATAATGCTTGGCAAATGAAGCAAGATCAAGAGATTATAGCGCCGGAATCATTTAATGCACAGCAGTACAGTCAACTGAAATTCTACTCTAAAATTTCAAACTTGTGTCGCCGAGCCTTCTGACAGTGCTTGAAAGTTGTTGGAGATGCTTTTACGCATACTATCAGTACCAGAAAAGCTTGTCATTAAACTTGATTTACCATATTTGCATAACTCTTAACTAAACAGATTCGTAGGCACTTACCTCATAGACTAAGCTAAGCCAGCTGTGTAAGATGTGCTGAGATCATATTCCTGGACATTTGATGTATATCTCATGTGAACTTCATGCACTAATTTATTTCATGAATATGACGATATTGGTAAGGTCATGGAGACCATAAGAAGATAGAGGGCAAAAAAGAAGCATGTTGCGTGAGGCTGAATACTGCGCATACAGCCGAATAAGACAGAAAAGTTCAGGGTAAGATGAAAGCTTGCAGACATGAAAAACCCTTGGAGCACGGGGTGCTGGTGTCGTTTTCACAAGATGCAAAAAGACAACGACACAAAGGAAAACAAAACTGTGTCTGGCCTCTACGTGCACACTGCCTGAGTACTGTTTTGTAAAAAAACATTTTTTTTTTGTTTCCATTGTCAATAACTCGTGCAATTCACTTATGCATACCTACCAACCTGGCAACACCGAAATTAATAAAACCCCCGAGCGGGGTAGGGGGAAAGGGGGGGGGAGGGGGCTACTATTTTTTTTTAAATTGGCAGGTGTGATCGATTTGCCTTTAGCGACAAGAATAATCATGTTTTGCCACCAGAGGCAATATCGACGCACTGAACTATTTCCCCCTATTTTTGCCACTGAAATATAAAAAAAAATGCGAAAAAAAAAAGGGTGGGGGGTACCAAACGCAAGCTCAAACATTGGTGTTGCAGTCTTGTAATGGTTTATAGTGGCCGAACACACGAGGGTAGGGTTTCCCACTAAGGTGAAAGTCCCAAAGGGGGAGCGCAAATGCTTTCAAAATTTTGGCGTCATCAAAACAACTATAGCCAAAAAATAAATTCCGTCAAAACAGCCCCCGTATGTCTTCACACATGAACGGACTGGACGGCGCAGCTGGCTGCCGCGAAAGCATGGGTCAAAGCTTTGGCTTTGCTCGCTACTAGATTCTTAGGATAGGAATGCCAAAATGCTTTTAGCCTTTTTTATGCCTTTACCACCTTTCATCTACCGCTGTGTCAGCCACGTGTCCTCAGAGCTCGTAGATCGCAACCGCATCGCCGTGACGGTTGCGGCAAACGGTAGTTTTGTTTTCAATTCACGTGCCTTCAAAACTAAGTCGTTTTATGCTATCTATGATCACAACTGCCGCGGCTTTGTTTAACAGCATTTGCGAAAAGCAGCGTTGCTTTGACTGTTTGAGCATTGGCCGCACGCACACTCTCCGAGTTCTGTCAGTAATGTCAATGCCATACATGATCGTGTCGAACTGCCGTGGTTTCGCCCACAGCAGTAGTGGCGACGACAACCACACGCACTGTAGAAGATAGAGCGTGCGCTGGTCGCACACATACTTCCGAAGTTCGAGCACGCTGCTCTCGATCGGCCTTCGTTCGACGGTTTCGGTACTACTGGCCTAATGGACACATGAATTTGGCTGGAGAACTTCACAAATTTGTATCTGCCGCGGTTTCGCATCACCGAGACTCTACTGTACGTTTAGATGAACGCCTCTCAAACTTGCTTATAACAAAATGCGGTGGGCTCTCAAAAAGCCTGGAAAGGACTGACCTGCACTTCTGTCAATACAGCGACATTTCGCACACAAACTTAGATTTACAGGAGATTTTTATGACAACCGTACAAACGGAAGAAACCGTCGAAATGCGAGCGTCTCCTGGACAATGGGAGAGAATGGCAGGTATGTGACGATAACACTAATACACATTGTACTCTTCTGGTGGTGGAATATAGCACAACGCTGTTTTTGTGGCCCCTGCGACTAAGCTACGGCAATGCGCCGTAGCCAATCATGGAGGCCACGCTATTTTACTAATTTTTTTTTATCGGAAACGAATTATTTTTTGTAAAATTTCAGGTAAGATTTGTAAAATTATAGGCGCAGCCAAAATTCGTATATTTTACGGGAAAAACCCGAAGAGTTGTCAGCACTTTTTGTTCGATTCCGCAAACGAATGCGAAGTGGAGGTAAAACTAAAGATTGGGATAACAGTTACTTCAATATGTACAATGACGATGCTAATTGCGCATGGCAGTAGCAGCCATGAGTCTGTAGACAGCAAGTTTTTGAGATCAAGTACTAGAACAAAGTGCAATTACAGGTTATATTAAGCACAGACGCTAGTTTTGCAACAATACTGAATGCATTTAAGCACTTAGTTAAAATACAGCATATGTTTATTCGAGTCTACACTGAAAAGTTCGGCATAGCTGGGTGGCACTTTACTGCTTAATCTACCTTCAGAGCTAGAAAATTGGGGTGTGCTACTACTGGTACTTGCAACTAACGCTAGCGTAACTAATCAAGCAGGCGAATGTTACTAAAATCACGCTATGCTACTGAGTACTAGTACATTTGGCTGGAGATATAATTTACGTATTTTGACAAAACTCTTCTGACATTAGGTATATTAACCACATGCCCTGAAATGAATGTACACTCAAACCTCAATATAATGATCACGAATGTATTAAAATATCCATTATAATGAAGTATATGAAGAACACTCTTGCAATAGACCTAGTGTTAGGAATATACCTTTACAATAAATTTTCGGATATAACAAACTCATTTTCGGGTAAGATGGAACGTCGTTATTATGAGGTTTGAGTGTACTGCTACAAGTTAATTCAAAATAGGTGATGTCACACTCACCAAGGACTTCTGCAATCATGGCAGCATCTGTTCCCTCAATGGGAGCACATATCCTGGCCACAACTGGGTGGATTTGTTGAGAAAGGTAGTAGTGCTTATCTGAAGGCAAGAAAAAGGAATTGTAATTTGTTTTAGTATTTGTTTTATGACTGTCTGCTTTCACTCATCAGGGGTGGAAGTGGACTTCAGTGTTTTGGAGCAACTCAGGGAGCAGGAATAACGCTGTTTTGGAGCAGCTTTGGCACAGTAAAGGGAGAGTTTCGGAGCAGGTTCGGAGCACCAAAAGGTGTGTTTTGGAGCAATGCAAGTTCGTTTTGAAGCACCTCTCGAGAGCCAAACATCATCCTTAATGAAAATGACTTCAGGTAAAAAAAATCAATCCGATGGTTTTCACTAAACATTCAGTACTATAACATCATTAATTGTAGAGGTTCTAACGTTCCCAAAGCCATCATATGATTAAGAAAAATGTCGTAGTGGAGGGCTCCGGAAATCTCGGCAGCCTGGAGTTTTTTAACGTGCACCGAAGAGCACAGGCCTCAAGCATCTTTGTTTTCACCGAAAATGTGGCCGCCGCAGCTGGGATTCAGTCCCGCGACCTGCTGGTCAGTAGTCGAGTTCCGGTGTGCGTGTGTGCGGGGGGGGGGAGGCTTGCGTGTGTGTTTTCATCACCAAACTTGCCAGCTGACTTAGGAATTACGCGGAGAAAACAAGGGACAAGCAATGCTTATCTCTTGTTTCTATGACCGCTAGATAAATGCAGCGCACTCGGCTTGGCGAAAGTTTGTTATTTTCACGCTAATTAAACATACTACTATTCTCATCTGTGCTTGGTATGGAGCGAAGTGGGGACGAGCAATTCACACCGCAAATCTACGCGCACGGTACAGTAAGACGCCAGGTTGTGACAACGTGGGCAGCATAGGCACCGTGCCGCACGCAACTAACCAGGACATGATAAGAGTCTACACGACCGCTGCGTGTTTTTGATGAAAGTGTCACCTGTTGCTTATTATAAGATCGCGGCAGAAAAGTGCACATATGTATCGCAGACACCTGATGGTGTCTGTTCTGTCTCTATCTTGGTCACTGCGTATTACGGACCCTGTATTAGTTTCGAAATGCTCCTTGGCATCGCCGATCGTGCGAAAGTGCTAGTATGTTTTCCACGCCTTGGAAAAAAGGAAGAAATTACTACAGTAGTACTTTGGGCAACATCTGCCACGGCTCTTTATTGGTGGCGATGATGAACGTCACGAGATGCCCATTTGTACAAGCAAACGTGCACTGCCGTTCAGTGCATGACTATGCCAAGTTCTCAGCTGGTACAAATTATCGAGGTTTCACTGTATTACAGTGCAGTCCACTTATAACGATATCGAGCAAACCTAAAAATATGATCGTTATAACCGGTGATCGTTATATCTGGACTGCCGCCAAAAAATCGTCGCCGGACGTACCTTTTGTAGCTCCAGGCTTCATTTCGCTATTTTCACCAATTAATAAATATTGTAGATAGTAGGATGTCAAAAACAAGACTTTATTTCTTACTCCGAAGAACGCATCACGGGTTCGGCACGCCGAAGTAGTCCGAAATCTGCAGTTGCTTCCGCGGAAGCTTCAGCTTCACAACCACGGTGCGCATATCCTGGCCACAACTGGGTGGATTTGTTGAGAAAGGTAGTAGTGCTTATCTGAAGGCAAGAAAAAGGAATTGTAATTTGTTTTAGTATTTGTTTTATGACTGTCTGCTTTCACTCATCAGGGGTGGAAGTGGACCTCGGTGTTTTGGAGCAACTCAGGGAGCAGGAATAACGCTGTTTTGGAGCAGCTTTGGCACACTAAAGGGAGAGTTTCGGAGCAGGTTCGGAGCACCAAAAGGTGTGTTTTGGAGCAATGCAAGTTCGTTTTGAAGCACCTCTCGAGAGCCGAACATCATCCTCAATGGAAATGACTTCAGGTAAAAAAAATCAATCCCATGGTTTTCACCAAACATTCAGTACTATAACATTATTAATTGTAGAGGTTCTAACGTTCCAAAGCCATCATATGATTAAGAAAAACGTCGTAGTGGAGGGCTCCGGAAATCTCGGCAACCTGGAGTTTTTTAACGTGCACCTAAGCGCACAGGCCTCAAGCATTTTCGTTTTCACCGAAAATGTGGCCGCTGCAGCTGGGATTCAGTCCCGCGACCTGCTGGTCAGTAGTCGAGTTCCGGTGTGCGTGTGTGTGTGTGTGGGGGGGGGAGGCTTGCGTGTGTGTTTTCATCAGCAAACTTCCCAGCTGACTTGGGAATTATGCGGAGAAAACAAGGGACAAGCGATGCTTATCTCTTGTTTCTATGACCGCTAGATAAATGCAGCGCACTCGGCTTGGCGAAAGTTTGTTATTTCCACACTAATTAAACATACTACTCTGCTCATCTGCGCTTGGTATGGAGCGGAGTGGGGACGAGCAATTCACATCGCAAATCTACGCGCACGGTAAAGTAAGACGCAAGGCTGCGACGATGTGGGCAGCATAGGCACCGCGCTGCACGCAAATAACCAGGACATGATAAGAGTCTACACGACCGCTGCGTGTTTTCGATGAAAGTGTCAGCCCTTGCTTATTATAAGATCGCGGCAGAAAAGTGCAAATATGTATCGCAGACACCTGATGGTGTCCGTTCTGTCTCTATCTTGGTCACTGCGTATTATGGACCCTGTAATAGTTCCGAAATGCTCCTTGGCATCGCCGATCGTGCGAAAGCGCTAGTATGTTTTTCACACTTTGGCAAAAACAAAGAAATTAATTTGGTAGTACTTAGGGCAACATCTGCCATGGTTCTTTATTGGTGGCGATGGCGAAGGTTGATTTGATTGATTGATTTGTGGGTTTTAACGACCCAAAAACACCATATGATTATGAGAGACGCCGTAGTGGAGGGCTCTGGAAATTACGACCACCTGGGATTCTTTAACGTGCACCCAAATCTGAGCACACGGGCCTACAACATTTTCGCGCTCATCGGAAACGCAATGGCGAACGTCAGGAGATGCCCATTTGTACATGCAAACGCGCACTGCCATTCTGTGCATGACCATGCCGTCTTCCCAGCTGGTACAAATTATCGAGGTTTCACTGTATTACTAGATAATTCACAGTTACTAATTGGTGTGGCACCACTTTAGCGGCAATACAGTGTACTAGAATACACTATAGCGGGGGGGGGGACCACGGCGATAACAGCGATGAGGCGAGCACCAGCATGCCCAATGAATGAACCGAATTACGTGATCGAACACTTATTATGCTGCATATGTATGCAGCCGCGTCCTTTGCGTAGCCAACGCTCAGTGTTACTCCGTCAACAATAATAATCGTCTAGGTTTGGCGGTTGCACTTCAATCGACAATTATCATGAATATTGCCGTTTATGCACAGCATATTGAGATTGGCAGAGAATGGCGCATTTGGCACAGCGTTTCCACCCCTGAGTCATGTGTAATGCACATTTAACAGGCAGACTACTGCAATACATACCTATGGAAAGGTTTTCATTAGTCTTCAACTCTTCTGGATGGTAAGCTCTCTGTGATGCTGGCAGTTGGCTGCCATCCTGTGGGTAAGAAAAGTGTAGGTTGCATAAGAGCTCATTACTTGTTCTCTGGATCTAAACTGAGTATTAAAAATCAAAGCAGGGTGTCACACTGCTGCCTAAACATTGCTTATATAAACAGAGTGACTGCCAGGTTGTGGCAGTCTGGTATTTACTGGTGGCACGAAAAGACCAAACAAGAATGATTAAAATGTACTGTTGGAGGGCATACTACTCCACCCTCATCTTTCTTTCTTCAAAGCCTTTATATTTTTATTGCAAATACATACATGCGAGTCACCTGTCACAGGGCCCGTACAATACCTTGCAATGAAAAGTGAAGTACAATGCCAGGGCTATGAGCGAAAGGCCTGCTAGTGGCCGCTGCACATATTACTCAACTATGGCTGCTCCGCTTTAACCAAAAAACACAGTTTCGTTAATAAGATGACATTTAAAGAAAGCAAGGAAAATATCTGAATTGGGGTCCTAAAACTTTCGAGCTCAAAAGGAGAGGGCGTTTTAGGGGTATTCCGTAAGAGCGATTACCAATCCAGATGTGCTGGTACAAGAAAATCACGAAAAAGTTCTTGTGTGGGAATATGCATAGATAAGTAATATTTGAGAAAACATGTCAACGCATTCCCATTGTTCACGTCCTCTTCCACGAACGTCAAGCAAGGAAAACTCAATATCGCCCCATACTGTATTTACACGACTGTAAGTAGACTCAAATGTAGGTCAACACCCCTAAAGTCCCGCAAAAAAAAGAAGAAACAGAAGAGGAAGGAGGAGGAGCACAATTCATCAAATAAATTAAAAAGAAATTATTCTTAAATTTTAAATAAAAAAAAAACGTAAAGCCACCAGTGTGCCAAGGTGAATTCACGGCAGTGCTTGAAAGCTGTGCAGAAAAGCTAGCTTCACGAAAGCGCGCAAGTTTTCAATTCCAAGTCGAGCCTTCCCCCCCAACTTCGGATTTAAAATTAGGACAGTATGGGTTGACTTACAATCGTGAAAATACGTACATTTCAGTTTCCCTGAGCTTGTTCTGTGATGCCCAGAAACAGTGGAGACAGACATTTTAGTAGAAAATGTATCCACCCAACCACGATATAACGAACATGGATATAGCGAAATCTTGGTTATAACAAAGTAAATGAAGAATAGTTTTAATATAGTGTTAAGAATCTACCTTTATAATAAATTTTTAGATATAATAAACTTACTTTTGTGTAAGATGCAACTTCATTATAAGGAGGTTTAAGTGTACTTATTACTGAACATTGCTTTAATTACCAAAATTACTCGAATCTAACACGCACTTTTTTTTCCAGATCTGCGGGTTCATAAATTGCATGCGCGTTAAAATCGAGTACAAAAAAAAAAAAAATGAATACAGTCCTTCCATTGCCATCGGCATTTCAAAAATGGCTGCTTCATACACTCGTCGGCCATTTCTGCCATTGTGTTTCCAGTGTGTGGCACTTCGTACGTATGCTGAGGAGTTCTTCATTTTGTAGTGCACTGACATCGACGGCATGGAAGGACCGACTCCAAATACTCGACGAGTGCACCAGGATGCCGCTTTTAAAAGAAAAGTCATCGTGTGTGCAGTAACGGACGGAAATCTGGTCGCATCGCGGTCGTTCAGAGTTCCCGAAAACGTTGGTTACGGGACTGGCGGAAACAAAAGAAGAAGATCGTCGACAGCAAAGCTTCACGTAAAGGCTCCAGTGGACCACAGCAGGGTCGGTTTCCACAAATTGAAGAGCTGCTCGCCGAGTTTGTGCTTGAGCAGCGAGCGGCACAGCAGCCCGTGACAACAGAACTGCTCCAAGTGCGGGCTATGCAGTTAGCCTTAGAAAAAGGGTTAACGCGGAGCCAGTTTAAAGCTAGCAGGTGCTGGCTAACTTTATGAAGAGGAAAGGCTTTTCCATCTGAAAGTGAACAAGCATATGCCAGAAGTTGCCGGACGAGTACGAAAAAAAGCCTCACAGTTTCCTTAAACTTGCGGCACAACAGCAGCTACCTCCTAGGGCAAATCGGGAATGCCGATCAGACGCCTCTTTACCTCAACATGCTTGGCACCACAACCGTTGAGAAGAAGGGGGCGAAGCAAGTTCGCGTGCTGACATCAGGCCACGAAAAAACTAGAGTGACGGCAATGCTCTGTTGCATGTCAGATGGGCAGAAGCTTCCCCCACACCTGATATTTAAACGGAGGACGCTCTTGAAAGGAGTCGTTTTCCCGAGTGGTGTGATCGTGCAGGCCAACGAGAAAGATTGGGTGACGACGAACCTGGTCGCCAATTGGATCCATCACATCTGGCGGAAGCGGCCCGGCGCCAGTTCGGGCCTGTGAGCGATGCTCGTGCTCAATGCGTTCAGGTGCCATCTCGACCAGCGGATCAAAGACAAGCTTGCTGCGTGCAATACGGACCTTCTAGTCATCCCTGGCGGCATGCCTTCACAATTTCAACCACTAGATGTCTGCCTGAAGAAGCAGGTGGAGGACAAGATTCAGGCGCTCTACACTGACTGGCTGATCAATGAACGACATGATTTCACGCCAGGCAACAGGATGAAGCGCACCTCTCTGCAAGACTTCGCTGCGTGGGTGAAGGACGCGTGGTGTGCAATAGCATCAGCCATGGTCATTAGGCATTCTAGAAATGTGGCATCTCGAATGCCATGAACGGTGCCGAGGATGAGATGCTTTGGGCCGTTGACAGCAATAAGGAGTTGTCTGACAGCGATGAGGACTGACCTATTACGCCACTTGTAACGTCGCCGTAGTGGTCACAGTTTTAGCTGCAGGGCCGGCTGTTTGACTTTGTGTTTAATCTTTCGAAACTTCAGTGCATTAAAACTCAAATACTTGTTCTCAATGTGCAAAGGTTGACTCATACGGACTTTTTTTCCATTGCTCTCCTGTCGCGAAAAATGGGTGCGCGTTTCAATCGATGTCTTACTTTATTTATTTTTTTCGTCGTGGAAACCGGGTGCACGTTACAATCGAGGGCGCGGTAGAATTGAGTAAATATGGCACATCCCGCGGCACTTCTCAAACGAGCTATCATCAGCGTTTCTGGAACAGATGACATCCGCCCATGAATCAGCAAAACACTTTTTCGTGACCGAATGGCCTAGACATCACACGAGCACCTGCAGGGGGTACACTTTGCTGTCAAGCTGACTTGTGTAACGCAAGCTGTGTCGGCACCGGACGTGGCGTCAGAGATCGGGACGCACTTACAAGGGCTGTCTATTGAGCAGAATAATTTTTGGTCCGCGGTTGTTGTGCCTTTGGCCGACCAATGATCAAACTGCATGTTTTGACAGTGATGGACAACCGCAAACCCGAGACTTTGATTCAGTTTGGCACAAGTTACGCTGGTTTTACCAGGATGGCATACTAAATTCAATTTGGTGCATTTCGGAGCAGTTGATGCCGGAGTGGAATAACGGCATAAACCCCTTGGAACCTTCACGGCTGCTTTCAAGTTGAAAATGATTGATCATGTGATTGAGTGCTGCGAAACGGTTACAGAGCCGCTGGTAGGCACTTTGAAGTCCAGGAGTTCTGTGTTCGCTACTGGCGACGGCAGCACAGGCAGCTGAAAGCCACCAGGACGCATTGGGCCTTCCGTGTGCTTAAGACCGGGATGGATTGTACGACTTTTTCATCGAAAGGTAACTGCAGATGATTCCGCGTTAGGTCATCATCCCAAGGTTGACGTCGTACGCTAACGTTTTGCGGGCTCCCCTTGATTGACGAACGCTAACGCTAGGCCCGCAAGTTTTGCACGGTATTCCTAAACTCGGTACTATTTGCTTGCAGCTTTTGTGTCACAAATAATATCTTGCCTTGAGGTAAGTCTTGATTAGTACTTCTCACAGCTTGTAATTAGTTCCTAGCATGAGAATCCGAACTTGCGGTCATTTCGTCTTTTTTCCCCCGCTCTAAGTTTTCGTGGAAAATTTTCCTCGCGTAATTGTCGTACCACCAACTTCTCGTTGGTTTTCCACGAAAAAAAAAGTGCGAGAATTACGCAAATAAATATGGTTATATATACTAGAAAAATTTGTTCAGGATCCCTTTATTAAGCATTGTTTGATTTCGTTTTATTTACGATGACCAACAAGCCTAGTCTGAACATATACTGAACAGAAGCAGAATGAAATATGGAAAGCTGTGCGTGCTTACGTTGCATATGATGTAGGTGACAGTGTCGCCGTGGCGCAGCTTCTTGCCGCCTTTGCTGTTGAGCCGCATAGCAACTTGAACGTGGCACAGGTTTTTTTTGTCTGGGTAATCCTCAGGATTTTTGGTGAGTTGCTGTAGAGAAGGACGAAGGTGATAGCAGTCAGTAAATCATAAAAATAACAAGGGTGAGGCAAATCATCACCAAAAAATCAGAGGCTCTTTGTTTTATGCAGGGATAACTCCAGCTAATAGGAAGGAATAAGCCCAATATCTCATTTGCATGATAAAAATGTTGCAGGCAACCAAACTAAGGCGACCATCATGTCGTGTTTGCTAGGCACTTAATCTACAGTACACTCTCCCTAAACGAAACCTGAAGGGACCAGCAAGAATGCGGTCCATTCAAAGGGAGTCTTGTTCACTGAAAGATGAACAGGTGTGCAGAATACAAGCGTGAAACCAGTAATATCAGGGGCGGTCACTCCATTTAGGCAGCAGTCCCATTTAAGATATTCAGATACTAAAGTTGAATTTTTCACACTGTATGCGAAAGCTTGGATAATTAATCAATTTGTGAAGCAAACCTGAGGAGCTGTTTTCGACGCTCCCTCAAGTGCATCAAAACTATGAGAGGAACTTTTGCAAATCGGAGAATAAAATTATAATGATAAACAAGTTCTAGCTAATCTTTTTTATTTTACTAAAAGTGTGAAAATGGAAGGCAATTCTTTAAAAACTGAAACTTAGACATAGAAAGCAGCAAAACACACTGAAAGTTTCTTCACTAGAGGAGTTTGCAAGTTGAATGTAACATACCCTTGTGATGCAGTAATCGGACAGTGGAAGTGAATTTTCCTGGATTTTGGTGGCAAGCTGCATTAGGTGAGTGTTGATCTTATCTACTATTTCTTCCCTCAAGCTGTTCGACAAGATTTGGTTGATCACAAACCTGGAACGAAACAGAGGCATGGTTCAGAACGTGCTGCGACAAGAGTACCCATTGCTTAGTGTTCCTGATACAGTAATTTCTCGTTAATTTGGATTTCACGGGACTGAGAAAAATGTTTGAATTGACCGAATGATTTCCTTGTGGTTTCGTGCTACGATCGGGTGCTCGTCTTCTTTAGTTTTCTTAACTCTTTTGCTACCTTGCAAGTTTCCGCAGAACTCATTTGCCTTACGAATGCCGATTTATCAAAAGTACAAACAAAGCAATAGACAAGTGTCTGTTACACCAGTGCATTTTCGATATTTTTACAGATCCAAAAATGCTGGATTGGTGCATTGCCATTTTCTTGGTGAACAATAAACCTAGTGCATATTTCACATATGACCAGTCGCCTCGATTTTTATCATTTGTGACTCCATTTACAATGTGACAGCAGCACTGAATCTCAGTGGTTTAAGCTGAAATGGGCCATGAACCCATCCCTTGACTACGTACCATCGCCACCAACACCAAATGCGCACTACACGATGATTTATTTTCACTGGAGAAATGGCCGACAACAGTTGGTTTGCTTATCATAATGTAGCAAGTAGGTTTCATGTCATCATGTGAACTGCTATTGAAGCTCTTCAACAGCTGCCGCCATGTTTGAGTTTTGTGACATTGTATGAACATTGCTTTAAGTCTAAATGAAGTCACTCAGTGCCATATCCGTTGCGGACGAAACTGCGGTCCCCAAAGACACGATCACACCGCCCATACAGTTCTGAAGGCAGGCTTGCGGCCCACGTCCAGAATCAAAATGAAACTGCTGAGAACCACATGCATCTGCTGCTGAATAAACCTGGCTCATCGATGCACAATCACGGAGAACAACTACGCAATTCTGAAGACACTCAAAAAAAGAAGATAACTGCACGTCACAGGCTTGACACCAGTGCCTGTTGACGTGATCACAGATAACTGCCAAGCAGTTCTCATGCGCCGAGTAAAAACAAAAACAAAGCAAGTTTGCCACAGCCGCTGAAGCCTTGGTCGCCTTAGTGATTGTGGTAATATTGTGAACGGCTACTACGCCTTTCCGAAGGTCTGCGGCGGTTTTGGTTGTTTGTAACTGCCTCATTTTTGCTTCTTTGTATCCCACGTTTGAGGCACATTTGTAGCACTTCGTGCTCGGCACACCCAAAGAATTATCTACAACAACTTGGTAAGGGGCCAAATATGACCGAGTTCGATGCCATTAAACAACATACATGCCTACTGAGACCAAGGAAAATGTCCGAATAATATGATTTTCTAAAATATTGGGGGCCAATTAACAAGCTTATGTACTGTATTCATGCATTAGTGCCTAGCTTTTGCTTTCAAATAGAATATTCCCACACAAGCTTACAGCAAAGTGGACAACACAGACAGTGATTAGCCTATCATGACCTTACAATAATATGACAATTAATTTTCTAAATCTCACAACTGAAATTACTATAGCAATCAACAGTGAGCTGCAGCTTGAGTGGTTTTATTCTCGACATTTCATCACTGATACGTTGCGAGAATGGTGCGACCACTCTGGCAATGTGTACTCTCCCAATTAATTAAAGCGACGGGACCCAGAATCAAATCCACTTCCTCGTACTTAGGAGCACAACACCGTAGCTGTAAAGCCACGATAGTGGGCAAGCATAAATTGCCAGATGTAGGGCTCACAACATTAAAATAAATACTGATCCGTGTTCAACTTATCAATAATACACAAAGTAGAGCTCCCCTAGTGAAAGCAAACAACTGAAAAAAAAAAATCTACTATGCCCTCATCTAAGTCCCAAGAGCAGGGACTTGAAGATAAAAAAAATTAGTACTAGGAGTACTAATTTTGTACTTTTGCTACTCCTAAATTAGTACTAGCAGTACTATATTAAGTGTGAAGAAGTGCGCAGGAACAAGCAAAAGACAGAACTGCCTTACACGCCCGTTTTCCTTGCTATCTCCGACCAATCACGGCGCACCACATCCAATCCTTTCAGCTGCTGGGTTTCGATTGGCTCGTTGTTGGGTCCAAAGGTGATGCATACTGCAGCATACTTTTTCTTCTTCAAAAGCAGCATTGACTTGAAGATGCCATCAATGTCTATCTCGAGCTGCTTGTAGAATCTGTTAATTTCTGCTTTAATCTGTATGAGATGCAATGGATAGCTGTTACTAACATGCCACAGTACTACAAGGCAGTGCTGTCTCTGAGCAAGTTAGTACTGGCAGATGTTACCAGGAACTGCACAGACAATAGATGAATATATGTGTGTATTCAAAATGGAGCCAATATTAACAAATTTTTTTCTTTACATTACGAAGTTTTTCAACGGTTATGTAACTGGGAGCGCATCTTAAGTCTTGATCGGGATGCCATCTATTTAGAGATAACGAAATCAAGTTTTGCTGTTATTACTACCAAGATGACTGTAATGTGCTTATGGCAACTAGGATATTTAAACAGAGTAGATTACTATAAGAAACAGACTTACAAAAATTGGCCTTCACGTGAAGCAAGTGCAATCAAATTTTATTCTAGCTAGAGTATCTTGGTGATAAGCTAGAAGATGATAAAAACTGTCTACGAACACAAATACAAATCATAAGTAGCAAAACAATCAGCAGAGTAACGAAGAAATATGCATAGGAATGGTGCAAAACACTTATGACATTAACCCAGTATCTGGGCACACAATGGGTTAGTATGTAATAAAACTTGCACCAAGTCGCATATCTCACCTTATTCCCCAGTTTTGTGACTTCCTTCAGGTCCCTCGAGTTCGTATTGATCATAATAGAATCTGTGTCTCCGTAGATGACTTCAAAGCCCATCTATAACAAAGATGCAACATACATCAAGTAAGCAAGCTACACAATAGAAGCTATACTGCCATGATCAAATGAGGTGAGAAGATGGAGTCATTGAACCAATTACAAATAGGCCAAATACCAAGGAGGTATACATTCGCATCAGTATATTTGTCATGCGAGGTAAAAAAGGGATGAAACATGGATGAGTTCAAGTGAATTCAGAGCTGTAATATTGTTTTTGCCAGCTTCCATTATCACTTTAGTGCGTGGCTATTGATGAAAATTCGTCTAAGTTTTGAAAAGGCTATGAGTGAGATGACAATACTAAAGTGGTCCATTTATTTCCATTACAAAAGTCTCAGCTGCCTGCTTTCTTTATGTGCTTGCAACTTTTGAAACCTTGTGTCACATACCTGCCCACTTACCAATGAACATCCGAAATAAATTTTGAATAGGTGACACTTCAACATTCTGATAGTGCAAACTAATATACTTATACACAACTTATGCCCAGAAAACATATTACTACATGCATATACAGATTTTGCCATGTCATATAAACATACATAAATGTGACCACAGTTTTTGAGCAGTACAAATACTATATGGGGCCTAGTATACATCCTGGAGTTGGGTGTCATATTATGCATAAAGGCTTTGTGTATTTTAAAACATAAAGGCATACATGTGTGCGTAAAAATGTGCTAAAATATTTAGGGAGCATATAAACCTTTTCGACAAGTTCTTTGGACTGCATCAGGATCTGGAAAGAAAGAAAAAATAGTGCCGTGTTATAGGCGGTGCTCCTGTGAGCAGCTTAAACGATGTTGAGAACAGCAGATAAAAACTCGCCTCTCTGCCTCGGCTTGTAATGAGTGCTGCGAGAGGCTTCGCATAAAAACGAGAGTTTGAGAATCCCAGGCATCCGTACATGCTGTTAGCCGTCAGCTTCAACGCCTTCTGCCTGATGTCGTACTAAAGGAAAGGCAATTTATATGTTCAAGCACTAAGCAAAGCGAAGTCAAAACTCCAAGTAAATACAGTAGACACTCATTAAAAGGAACCTGAAGGTGCTAGGAGAATGTGACCATTTGACAGGAGTTCGAATCACTCGGAAGTGAATAGGAGTGCAGAGTTCAAGTTTGAAAACAATCATATTAGAGACAGTTGTTCTGGAGCTTCCAGAGAATTGTGGAAATAGAAAATATGTTATGCAAGAAGATGTGGCACTAAAGGCTATCTGCAACCTTGCTATCCATTACGTTGTCGCAAAGTTTAAAACATAGTAGAAAAAAAAAGACACACACATTCTTAAAAGGGTACTTAACAGCAAATAAAAATTTGTGTCAGAGTGAGAAATTAATGTTAGAAATGTCTAAAACTGCAATATCATCAACAGCAGTGCTCTGCTAATTGAGATATTACAAGAAATGTACAATGCAAAACTGTTATTTGGCCTAGTTAGAACCTATTCACCTTGAAGTATTGTATTTGTGCAGGCCCATGTGGACAAAAACAACACACTGACGAGTACATCTGTTTTCCACGGGTTTGTGTGTCTCATCCTCGTCCCTATAAACCTGCGCAAGTACTTTGAGATGTAGAATGTACGACGCCACATGCGCTACGAGTGGGACAATTTCGAATGATTCCAATGGCGTCAGACGTTTGTTCAATGGCGGTTGTAGCTCATTCAATCTATAGCTTAACAAAATTTCATTTCCTCAACCTACGAATTGATTGATTGATATGTGGGGTTTAACGTCCCAAAACCACTACAGTGCAGTCCACTTATAACGATATCGAGAAAACCTAAAAATATGATCGTTATAACCGGTGATCGTTATATCTGGACTGCCGCCAAAAAATCGTCGCCGGACGTACCTTTTGTAGCTCCAGGCTTCATTTCGCTATTTTCACCAATTAATAAATATTGTAGATAGTAGGATGTCAAAAACAAGACTTTATTTCCTACTCCGAAGAACGCATCACGGGTTCGCTGAGGAAGAGAGACTGACCGACGGCGGGGTGGGAGCAGTGGGAGGAAGAAAGCACAGCCAGAGGTACACAGCCGGAATGCCAACGAGGCCCCGCCCCGATGCCGCCGCGCCGCTTTGCTTTTCGCTTTTTTTATTTTCTCTCTCTTTCCCGCGTTCGTTCGGCAAGCTACGAGTAGCTTGCCGGCTTGCCGTTGTAGAAGGCGGGGAGCCGCGGAGCGCGGCGCTTTGCTTTTCGCATTTTTGTTTAATTCTCTCAGCCTCCCCGCGGTCGACGCGCGGCGAGGCGCAAAACGTGACACAGCTGGCGCCATCTGTAGCGCGTCGCGCCAACTCGCGATGCTCTCCTCGGCTTTTTGAACGGCCGGGACGCGCTGCCGGCGCTGTGCTGCAGTGGCGGCAGGTACTCGCCTACGCTAACTTTTCGTCTTGTCTCGGCATAGTTCGTTTCAGAGGAACTTATCAATCTAAATGTTACGATTATTCTGAATGAAACATGCCATCCACGGCAAACTTTTCATCGTTGTATCCGATATGCGGTGGATAACATATCGTTATATATGGTTTTTTTCCCCATAGCCCCAATGCATAAAATGAGACTGTTAAGTCGACCCATCGTTATAACCGATATATCGTTATATGTGGTATCGTTATAAGTGGACTGCACTGTATATAATTCTGAGAGACGCCATAGTGGAGGGCTCTGGAAATATCGACCACCTGAAATTCTATTTAATGTGCACCCAAATCTGAGCACACGGGCCTACAGCATTTTCGCCTCCATCGAAAATGCAGCCGCCACAGCCAAGATTCAATCCCGCGACCTGCGGGTCAGCGGCCGAGTACCTTAGCCACTAGACCACCGTGGCAGAGCTCCTTAAAGGTGTCCTGCAACACATTTAGAGCATGGTCAGAAAACGCTGTATCGGTAGTAGAGGCTCCCGACAACACTCTAGCCAAATATTATAGCGCAGCACGCGGTTTGGAATTCACAATAAATTATCCAAGTCAGCTAAAAACAGTTTTCTCTTCTCTCGACAAATCCCACAAAATAAGCCCAGTAAGCCCATCTATCGGACATTGGCTGATTTGAACATGGGACGCTTGGTTGTTACAGAGGTCGGCGCGAGAGGCCATCACTTGTCCAAGCATGCGCGCGCGTTCGCACTGAGAAAGCCACATATTCGAAAAAAAAAAAAAGAAAAAAAATGGTGAAGGTCACGAGGCCCAAGTGACATTTTTTGTTTGCCCCTCCTATCCCTTCCCTGCTCAGCTTCCAGCACTTTCTTCGAGATGAGAGAAGAGGGAATGTTATTGCAGCGTGTGACAAATCTTTGTCCGCTCGTACTGGACGGATTCTTAAAATTTTTGCGGCGTTCAATTTGTGAGGTAATATGCTTTTGCAGTGAATTAATTCTATGGTTACTCAAAAAAGTGTCTAAGGGCCCCTTTAAACTACAGATTACAAGGACTTTTTTCTTTCGTAGCAGCTCCCCTTAAACAATGTTTCACTTCATAGATAAAAACTAGAGCTGTGTCAAGAGCATAATTTTGGGTGTGAAGCAAATTCGAATATTCAAGTGTGAGTTCAAATCGAATAGAATACTTTTAGAATATATCTAGAATGTTTTTTGAATTGTTTGAAGCGAAATTGAAAAAAAAAGAAAGAAAGGTTGGAGAGGATTCCTATGCATAATCTTATGAGATCGCAACATTCAAATGTTTCTTTTCACTAGGTTGATGAAGTGCTGACAGACTGGTGTTCCATAGTTGTCTTATCAAGAATGAGGCAATGTAGAGGCCAAATTGCATTTATGTACACTCATATCTCGACATAAACGAACCCAGATATAACAAAATATCGGTTATAATGAAGTCAATAAATATGGTCTTGCAATAGATCTAATGTTAGGAATGTGCCGTTATAACGAGTTTTCTGATACTATAACTAACTTTTTCTTTTGCAAGATGCAACTGAGGTTTGAGTGTTATATGATTTGGTGCAATCGAACTGTTGCCACCAACACTTCACACATGAAAGCCAAAGATGCTATTTCCTCAGTTTCTCCTCTTTCAACATCTCTGGAAGTCCAACTGATGCGCCCGACAAGGGTATGCTCCCTTGCAAGTCTGGAGTTCCAAACCTGCCTTGTAGACGTTAATATATAAAAGCATCTGGAATGTCGAACGCAAAAATCTTTGGCATTCGTTGAAGCCATAATTTCAGATCCAAAACAGCATTGAGCCCCCACCTCTGCTAGATATGTCTTCTCTAAATTTCCGACCATAGGGGAGCTTGGGAGACAGCTTCGCCACATTGCTAGAGTGTACTGAGGTGAAGCAAATTGAAAAATATGAAGCAGTTATTTTTATATTTAAAATATACTATTATTACTTGGGAAGTTTGAATAGTTTATTTCCAATCGAATTGAATAGCAAGCACTATCCAAAAATGTTCAAAATTTTGAATATTTCCACACTCCTAATAAAACCAAGAAGGCACTTTTATGCATTCGTGAACCGTGCCTTTAAAAAAAGGAGTGAAAAAATAGTCGTGCTTAAACTTCTGACCCTGTATTTGCCAGCAAATGTCTTAGCCTAATGTTCCCAGTTGAAGTGATAGAGTCACAACGGAAAAAGATTAGCACAGGTGACTAGTGCCTGGAGCAGTGAAACTGCGGCATGCAGGGCTATTGTTTCCAAGCATGCCGACCACGAGAGTACCAAGCACATTAAATTTTTGAAAGCAGGAATGACCGGCAGAAAGCAGCTTATCTTGCTGTTGGCCCATCTGAAAGTGCACATCTTATATAAATATTTGTGCATTTTTTATTGACCAATACCTTTCTTTTTCTTTTTGTTCACTGGAATTGCAAGCAATCGTATCTTTACTGCTTTACTGCTGTTGCTCCGAAAAAGCTGTTTTTTTTGCTGGCCACCCCTACTTTGAAAAATAGAATGCACTCGCCAGTCTGTCTATCCGCCTGCTCGGGAACAACAGCGCTATGCGTTGCTATTTCGCTGCTCCGGCCACCAGTAACTTGTACTAATATTTTTCAAACGTGCATACCCGAACACATTACCTTCATCTGTAGGAAACGGTAAAAAAAATTTCAATGTTTACTGCACATGCTTCATAGTATGGAGTGACTGTACTGTACCAATATTTACTTGCTGCTCTTAGCATAACTCACCTGCTGGTACAACTCAGAGTCGCCTTCAGCCCCTTTCATTAATGACTTGACTTGCCTTCTTCTTTCAACAAGCTTTCGAATTTCAGAAGGCAGTACGCCTTGCTCCAACGTAGGGCTAGGCAATTTCGGAATGTAGTCTTCATCCTGTGAATGAAACAGCAAAGCATACCAAGCTACTACGTGATGGTTCAATGAGTCTCTTTTCCGCATAAATGTAAAACTCCCGAACCTTTGCCTCATCGCTGCCAGAAACACTAACAGTTGTGAAACAGATGTTGTACTCCTGAATGATGGATGGGTACAGACTGTTGAAGTCCATCAGCAGAATAAATGAGTCATAAAAACCTAGAAAGAGAGCGAGTCTTCAGATTATGTTTCAGATTATAGTTCCAGATTATGAAGCACAGAAGTAAGTCTAAGAGAGCCAGTGATGGGAAGCCACAGAGAAAGAGACAGCTAATACCGAACCCACCTTTCTTTGGTTCAAGCACCAGGCCACCAGCATAGGAAGGGCCCTTTTTGGATTTCTTGCTGGCAGTCATATGCTCAGCCTCATCCCCATCTTCCTCGTTAATATGCACCTGGAGATGAAAAGTGAATTTTCAGGAAATCTGCTGTCGGCATTTAGCCACAATCGAAAGCTTAAGACATTGTAGCTTGCGTAATTAGGGGGGGGGGATTGGTAATATACAAGACCCTAAACACCACTGCTCCAGCGACGCAGTGTATAGCAGCAAAGTCACATTTGATCAAAATTTAGTTGATTTCATCCCACATTTGTCATAATTAGGCAAACCAAAATGAGCATAAATGAGCGATTGGACTGTCCAGTCACATTATTACGACTACGAACACTAAAAAACAAGAAATGTTATGAAGAGCCACAGTTGAACCATAAACCAAGGTAAGGCAATGAAAACTCTTGTCCAAGGTTATCTTTCCATGCTACCTGATCCCACCAGTAACAAAATCCAACTCTTTCTGCATTCCAATGGAGGCGAAAATGCTGTAGCCTCATGTGCTCAGATTTGGTTGCACGCTAAGAGCCCCAAGTGGTCGAAATTTCTGGAGCCCTCCACTACGGCGTCTCTCATAATCGTATGGTGGTTTTGAAACGTTAAACCCCTCAGATCAATCGATCAACTCTTTCTGCCTGAAGACTTAAGGGGGCAAACTGGTCTTAGACATCTTTTTGTTTATTCCTTCAGTGATCTTGTTCAAACTGCACAGTATTATGCAGTTCTTTCAGCTGATTTCAAATATTTATTTAGTTTTCCTGTCACTCATCTTGTTCCTGAGATAACTTTAGTTTTTCACCCCCTATTGTTTAAGGCCACCATGGGAAAAAAGTGCTTAATTAAAAGTGATATTTAAGATATGCCAACATGGACTAATGACTACAGATTGAAAGTATGCAATAGATTTTGTTTTTAGGCCTTTCTTGGTTATTTTACAGCAAAATGAACTCTCCATTTTCGAAAGCAGTCGGAAATATGTTACAATTTTGATGAATAACTAATTAAAAAGGCTTGTGCACTAAATTGTGTTCCCATACTTGCATTCTACACATATACAGGATTTCATTACAAAAAGAATTATTGTTGTACCTGTCCTAGCTGCAGAGATATTGAGGCTTCAAAACTGAACAGTCGTAAATTTACTTTTTTGAGAAAAATGGAAAAAAACTGAAAAGACACAGCTTCTTCAAAAAGCAACAATCATGGTGCGCGTGTTTTGAAATCCTCATAAAGGTGCTCATAAATTCGTAGCAGAGCCTCTAACATAGGTGCCGGCATATTATAAAGAATATGCCTCGAAGTCGGTTCCCCATTTTTTTGCAGGTTCTGCATGTTAGCAGCACCAAGAATCTAGACAGAATGACATTACAAAAAAATTACCACTCCTCCCTGGTGTGTGAAAATTTGCAGAGATAGAAAATACTTGCAGAAACCAAATATGTCAATTTTAAAAAATACATTTTTGTCACTTTTTGGTCCTAAAGACCAGTCTGCCCCCTTAAATGTACAGAGAAGTACACTTGATAGTTTTGCAGGAATTCTGGCTTATTGCTTGCAGGGTTGAGTAGAGCTTTTAGCTACACGCTGAAAATCACTTTGCTAAATTTAATCCTAATACAGTCGCCGACCGATTTTCCGGACTCCAAAAATTCGGACTTGTTGGATATTCCGGACTTCATTAATGCACCGTCAGGGTTCCCATAGAGCTAATGCATTGTTTCGACCGATTTTTCGGGCGAATTTGCCCCTGAAAGTTCGATTTTTCGGACTAAATCGCTCGTTTTGTGCCACGCTCTAAGCCATTGTGAACGCCGCCATGTTGGATTTTCTGTCGGCTTGGCTAAGCTTGGTCTTCAGATGCCTTTCTTGCCTCCGAGATTGGAATGCGCACGCCATGTTTTAAGTTTCGGGGGGCCGTGTTTGCTTTTTAAAAGACGCGGTGATGGATGCCGTTTTTTCGTCTTCGGTCAGCACTATCGTCATCACATCGCACGGGGAGGAGGCGAAAGAAGGATTCTTTTATTGTCGTTGCAGCTTTTTTCAGTCGCCATTCTGCACGTGTTGTGTCGCGTAGCGTCGAGACGTTGTGTGCTTCGCAGCGGCTATCTGCGGCATCGAATTTTGTGTTCTCGGTGCCATGGCTCCGCTATCTGTGCCATCGCGGGAGCCAGGTGGTGTGAAGAAGCGTGGGAAGTATACGACCCTGACGATGGAGAAGAAAGCTCCCATAATCAAGCTAATAGAGAGTGGACGTTCGCAGCTAGATGTCGCTGGATGACGGTCGACGCCGGATGGCGGTCGTCGTTGTCGTCGAATGACAACGACGACCGCCCGCAGCCGTCGGAGATCGCCAACGTGGTGACAATTTTGTCGAGCGTTTACAGCGACGATGTCACCTTGGCGCAAATACGGGCAAACCAAATTGCCTCCAAGCGTAGTTTGAGGCAAGGCAGCATCAAGGACTTTTTTAAACCTGCCTGATGCAATAAACTTCAGATTTTTGGCGAAAACGAATTTTTCGGACTGTCCGATTTTTCGTACTTTTTTTCGGTCCCCGCCAGGTCCGAAAAATCGGTCGGCGACTGTACTGCTTACCACGCTAAAGCTCATTTTACCTAGCGAAATGAAGTGTGGCAAACTAAATGCACTTGACTCCATCCCATAGCTCTCAACGAATTTTCGCCACTACTGGAACACCTGAAAGCCATTTCTAGAGGCTCTTCATTTCAGGAGCACTTGCCCACTGTTGTCATAAAAATAAGTAAACATCAAACTTCCTTCAATGCTTGCAGTGCCAGTGCATGAAAAATGTTTGCCTCTTGAGGCAAGCATTTTTGATGAAGCCGTCTAGTAAGCTGCTGCTATATGGACGTACCTTGGTGCCCTGTTTTTTGAACACCTTGTCGGGGCATATGTAGTTGCGATCGCTGAATGCATGCAGCAGAAGGTATTCATTCCTTTGCGACCTGCCTCCCAGTAATGTCTTGGACTATAAGCAAAGAGGGAGAAAATGTAAAAAAAAAACATCCACCGCAACATTTGTGGCAATAACACGTGATGTCACAATATGAATCGATTCATTGAAACTTTGAATGCGCTAGAACACTGAATGAGCATTGAAAATGGGAATGTCATTCAGAATGTGCAAACAATTTAATAAACAAAGAGAAGCATGTAATTAAGGCAAATGCAGAACACAAGCATCTCTGTACCTATCAACACACTGAAAATTTTGAGCTATATTCGCAAAGTGCACATTTCATTGCATTTCAAATAACTAATAGATGTCGTGCTCACGAGCAACAGTGTAGCACTTAGCAATACTAAAAGGCTGTGCACTCAGCAATGTGCTAAAAAGTTATCACTCATAGCTGCGAATCTGTCTGGTTCTTATGCAGAATCTCTTGCAAAGCTAAGGCTTCCTCTTATGTAAACATATGAGAATATGAAATAGTTTTTGGTCGCTCGTCTAGTAGTTAGTTACTGTATGTCCTCACAAATGTGGTATTTCAGTTGTATTTATTACTGTTGCATGTATTGCTGTATTACTGTTGTATATTTTAGCTCTATAAAAACAAAGTATATCTTAAATATGATTACAACATGCGCATCTGGCATTTTTGTTTCAGCTAATACAAAAAGAAAAAGGAAAGAGAGATAGAGAGACATTTTTCATTTGGCCCATAGAAGCTATAAAAAACTATTTAAAATTACTGTTGGCTTGCAGAAAACACTGTTGATAAGTATCCCATACATGCATTACCGCTTGTGTATTTGCCGTTCACATGCCAATCGAGCAACACATTTTGAGAAGGTTAAGGCAGCAACGGTATTAGAGCATTATTACTTTACTATACTTACCATGACATTTCCAGCAATGTTTGTTATTTGCAATGCCAAGGGAATAGCATTCAGCTCACTGACGACTCGCAGGCAGTAGAGGGCATCCATCATGGTGTGCTCCACTAGTCTCAACAACTGGCCAGAATCTCTAGAGAGTGAAAAAGAAATTTCCTTGCCTTTCCACGTTTCTGCTTTCTTTTTGACAGGTGTAACCAATAAAATGTCCTGTTCTTAGTCATTCAGAAGCCTGTTAGCCAGAAAGGGACATCAAGTAAAAATACTAAATCCCTTCATAAGACACGTTCATTACAGTGCTTGTAAGCAAACGTAAATGTGTTAGATACGTAATGAAATATAGCAGTTCTCACTGCAGATGCTTCATACATTAGCTTTAAGACTACATACGCTGTGTCAATATGTGTTACTGTAGGCTTGTGAGAATGGTGTAAATTTTAGGTTCAAAGCGAATATTGATTTCTTTGAATAATTTCAAATCGAATTCAAATACTAGTATGTATCCCACATATAAAAAAAAAGGACACATTTGTCATGACCCAACAAACTTGTAGATTATGATTGTAAACTCAAAACGAGGCATGTGAAAATGTGATTTTTTTTTATTCAAAGGAAGTGAAAGCAGCTTTGAAGTGAAGCAGGATTTAATCATCGGTAGAGTGCAAGTCATGACTGCCTGTTACTCGCGTAATGAACCCACCTTTTTTTTTTTTAGAAAAGTTGACGCCTATTTGGGGGGAGGGTTCAATACGCAGGATGAAAAAGTTACGGAAGTTATAACAGCGAAAATTTTGCATGACGGCTTTGCTCGTTTTGGCCCGTGAAATGCGCGACATATCTTTTTTGTAGATCGAAGCTTTTTTTTTTCCTCCCGTAATGAATGCACAAGGATCGGCGCCGCAGTGTCGTCCAGCCGCTCGGTTCCCATGCTCCAGCGAATGCTGTTTGTAGCTAGCGTACTGGCCGAACGCACCCTGCGCAGCAGCAGCGGGTGTCCCAACTAAATTCACAATGACAAAACCGACAACAAAAATGCAGCCTCGAATAATGGTGCACAAACGTTGCGGTAGACGTTGCGAGTGCCCGACGCGCCATCGGCGGGGTGAGTGCACTTGCGCTATGCATAGCCTCTGATATGGTGGTTTCTACGCCGCGCCTCCGCCATTTCGGAAACCGCGTGCTTTGTTTTTCGCTTTGGTTTTGTGCCGCTGTGCTTGCATAGCGCTATCAGCAAAGAGGTTTCTCTTGCATTCAACAGATGGCGCTTTGCCGGAAAAGGCCCAACTTTCAAATGTTGATTGACGTCGTAGGTGCTCGTGCTGCTTGCAACGGTTTAGCATGGTTGTGAAACTATGTTTTCACTTTTATTGCCTTGTTATTTTGTGATATAATGGCTTGATTTAACATTATTTCGATCATCGGCGGCACTGGCTATTGTACTGAATTAAAATGAACAGATACATTAAATTTTTTTTTCGAGGACCAAGGTGGGGGTGGGTCCATTATGCGTGTGGGTTCATTACGGAAAAAAATACGATACATTACATTTTAAAACTTATTATACTTAGAGCATATAAGCTGGTAGTCAGGTGGATGATTATGATGATACTAGGAGCATATAAGATGGTGTAACAAGCTTTTAAGCATAAAATTGATCAATCAGTGTGAGGGTAATTTGTTCATTTAACCTTGAAGCGGGGCTTTGCGGCAGTGCATAATTCCCCTGGATAGGTGTACTCACGATATAGCAACCCTTCACTGCCGCAAAACAACCTTTACAGGAGATTACATGCAGATTAATACACATCTATTCAATTCGAATGCTTCCAACTTTCCAATGACTTAAATTCAAATGAAAGTGAACTCAAATACTGTAATACTCGTTTGAATATTCATACTGCTCAAAAATTCGGACAAGCTTAGTTAACTAACAAGTTCTATGTATGTACAGCAAAATCTCATTAATAAAACTATAGCTAGAGTGCAGCACAACTATGCTCCGAATGGTAGTCGCACGCAGCAACCGCCAAGTGCAAATTTACATCCATTGAGGTGCGCTGCAACTGCAAAGTTTTTCCTAATTCCACCCGGTATAGTGTGCTTTCAGAGGCCACGAACAGGCAAGGCAAAGAAGGAGCGGCTGTTCTGCTAACCAGTTCCTCCTCTCTTAGTCAACTCACTCACCAGGCAGGGGAGGGAAGGGTGAGGAGAGTGAAGGGGAAGAATAAAGAAATCTATTGAAAGTTGGGATTCATACCCTTCTGTCACTTTTCTTTACCTCACGTCGAAATACACTAATCTTTGATTTCTCCTGTCTGGCGCTAGATTATGTGACCAACAAGGAATGGCACACACCATGGTACTTATTTGTAATGTTACTGCGTGAAAAGAAATATAAGCAAACTTATCAATTCTCCAGAATATTAGCCACAAATTATAAAATAACAAAAACCCAAGAGTGTGACCTAAAAATAGAAGTGCGATTATCACATGCTTGAAAAATGTGCCTAGGGACTTTCCTGGATTAGGTCCCTCCATAAGTTACAGCAAGCTTGACACGCTCCTGTCAAAATGCTGGTCCCATAAACGTACCTGTACATGTCCAGGACTTGCTCAGCTGTGAGGGGAACATGTTCCTTACGTAGCAAAGTCCTGACCAACTCGGACAAGTCGTAGCTCTTGCACTGCACCAGCTCTTTGGCAGACACCTTGGCATCGCACACAAGGCGACCGGGTGTAATCTGTCGGTCCGTTGTCTTGCCCTGCATGCAATTCGTAAGCACAGTGGGTCCTTCACAGCAGCGAAACGTAGCACGGTAGTGCCTATAGCGTAATGCTATAAAAGTAACCATCAATGGAAATGGTTGTGGCTAGGTCCCTCCGGTTCTTCAGGCAAGTACAGAAAAAAGTGCAAACCCACACAGTTAAAATCCAAGAGACTGTTGTGCACAAATATGTTCAATTCTTAACTAAGGTGCTGTGATAGATGATGTGTATTTTTATCTAGTCATATTCTTTAGAAAGCTCATTTTAAATCATGCAGTTCAGGAAACTTTAAAGTGTTTCTTTTTTTGCAAGTTTTGCACTACCAAGTTCAATGTAATAAATCACTCTAGTCAGCCTGGAGCATATTATATGGGGATAGTATACATGATTTGAAATTGGTACAGCAATATAGACAGACTACCTGAACTGAGCACAAAGAAAGCACATCTGATCAGCTTAAATTGGTGGCTAGCCTTTCGAAATAACAATAAAAGTTTATTTTGTGGTAAAAAGTTGCATATTCAAGGGGGAAAATTGCATTCTTGCATTTAATGCCCGAGCAACAATGCCCAAGATACTGTAGCGCTGTCAATGACTTTAAGGTAATTTTATGCATTACTTCGATCGTGTTTCGTAATATTATTTGGTATTTATTTCAAGTAGGTGTGCACAAATAGTATTGAAAAATTTTGAATGACAGAATGAATATTTTGAATGACAGAATGAATAGTGTTCTACTTAAGTATTGTAGACACACTGAAAGTTAAGGCCACTGATAGAGAACGCTAAGCATAAAATATTAGTATGGTAAAAATGTCTTCTCACCACATGCCATTTCACTGCAACACTTTGCACTATGCTCCAATTCGTGGCTGATCCCCAACGATATGCCTAAAGATGATGTTTTGTTCAATCTAATTAATGTTGGTGAAACGCACACTTTATGTATTTCCATGCGCAGAACTCAATTTTTCTATTCAACGTGAAATTTCCACCTTTTATTAGTCCTGCGTGTGAAGCTGATGGTAGGATGTTTTATTATGAAAAAAGGGAAAAGTAAAGGCTGGCACAACAGAATGATTTGTAAACTCGCCAGGGCACCAGCGTTTCCAAGCTTTGACCTTCCTAGGCAAGACAAATTACAAATCTTCAGTGTAAGCATGCAATGAAGCAGTACGTCCATAACAGAAACGATTTGTAATCTCACCAGGGCACCAGCATTTCCACGCTTTAACCTTCCCAGACGAGACCAATTAGAAATCTTCAGCGTAAGCATGCGATGAAGCAGTACGTCCAAATCGAAGCTCTGAATGTCATGGCCCTAGGACAAGAAAAAGAGAGACATTAGTCAGAAGCAATGGCAACAAATTTAAAGTGATTTAGTAGTTTAAGACATCCACACTGCAAGCTTGCTGTCAGTGCACTCAAATTGTCTTCACCAGATTCATACTTATCAAATGACCTCCAAACATAGTTAAAAATTTAGTCAGGCATGAGCTATCACACCGTTGTTTCACATTGTTGATTAGTTTTACACGTGTTGGTCATTAAGATGTGACGTAGTGGGTCATAAAGATGTGACGTAGAACAAGCATTCTAAATGGCGTATTCTCTAAACCAGGAGTTCTAAAACTTTTGGGCATGGGAGAGCCCAAAAAGATTCTTGAAAGTGCTCCAGAACCACTAGCTTCATTTTTTAGTTACGAACATGAAAAAAATAGAGAAGTGCACAGCGGGGCTTCAAAGTAGTGACATGGCTGCAATGGTTTGTTATTTTAATCTTGAAGGCCATCGCCATTGATGTGCAACTTAATATAATACGTAGACAGACGTGCAGTTCCTTCCCTCCAACAAAAAGAGCACGAAAGAAAGAGTCCTCTGTGTGAAAATTTTTATCTGTGATGTCCACAATACTCACTGAGATGTCCAAATGCCACAGAGAGACAGCTGAACCACTCTGCTCACTGCACGAAACTTATGGCTATGTCAGAAGGAGCTGCCAATCCTGACTAGCACTTGTGCTTACATTAAAAATCATAATATTAAGATAGGCCCATGGCAACGTTAGCTGCCAACATGGTTGTCAGGTTTCGCTACTTTGCTCCAATTTGGCTACCGTATAGTGCGGAATATAGGACGAGATTCCACTAAAAAGTCACCCTTTGACATATATACTGGTCCTTGGCATAAACCAAGTGATCGTCTGGCAATAGAGAGTGTCGCATGCTTTTTGGGCATCAGCATCGGCATCGCGTCTTTGGGCCGACGAGTTCTCTGCTGACGCCATTTTTCTTTTCTTGTTCATTCAGAGTTTGTAGCGAGTGGCGACCTTACACTGCGAACAACCATGAACAACGAGACGCGGTGCTAGTTCACCGCCGCGTTTAAAAGAAAAGTTATTGAATTCACAGAAGCGAATGGCAACATGGCGGCACAGCGGCAGTTTGGAGTGTGCGAGAAAAGCGTCAGGTACTGGCGCAACCGAAAATCCAAACTGTCGGTGTGTAACGCGAGCAAGACGTAGTTTCGCGGTCGCCGAGTTGTGCACCGGGAACTCGAAGACAAAGTGGCGGATTTCCTCCGCGAGTACCTTGCCAGATCCCTGCCAGTGAATATCGAGCTCATTTGCTCAAAAGCCGTCGAGCTCCCCCGTGAAACCAGTCTGTCAAAAAAAGACTTCAAGGGATCCATTTATTGGGTCCATCGCTTCATGCGACGCAAGGGATTTGCCCTTCGACGGCGCACGTTGATACGCCAGAAGCTGCCGGAGATGTACGAGGACAAATCGATTGAGTTTCAACTCTACGTGAACAGTCTCCAGCGGCAGCATGGCTACATGTTAGGCCAGATCAGTAACGCCGACGAAACGCCGGTGTGATTCGACATGCCGTCGCCCACAACTATTTGTGAACGCGGGGCAAAAGAGGTGAAGCTTTTGTCGACCAAAAGCGAGCATTCGCTCTTCACTGTTATGCTTTCCTGCACGGCTGACGGCAGAATGTTGCCCCCCGTCATCACCTTTAAGCGGATGGTGATGCTGAAGGAGGCCTTCTCGCGGAATGTCGTCGTCCACGTCAACAAGAAGGGGTACATGAACGAGGCCCTAATGCGCGAGTAGATCCACACAGTGTGGAACCGGCGGCTTGGAGCCATCCTGCAGCACCGGAACATGCTCGTGTTGGATGCATTTCGCGGGCATTAGACGGCATCAGTGAAGAAGAGCCTTCGCGACGAAAAGACGGATCTTGCCGTCATTCCGGGTGGGATGACATCAACGCTGCAACCGCTGGATGTCATCCTTAATAAACCTTTCAAAGACCGTGTGCGTGCATTGTACACCAAATGGATGGCTGGCGACAACCTGCGGCACCCGACAGGCCGGCTGCGCAGGCCACCTCTCGCGACAGTTTCTGACTGGGTCTCCGAGGCATGGAGCTCTCTGCCTGAAAAGATGGTGGTGTGCGCATTCAAGAAGTGCTGCATCAGCAACACTCGAGTGCACTGAGGACTGAATAAAATGAATCCATGAGCAATCCTGCGTTTTTATTTTTCGCTGGACAAGGTAAGGGGGTCGACCTGAATTCCGCATTATATGATACTTTTTTGGGGGCTAGTGGTGGCAGAAAAGATGTCTTAGCTATCTGGCTACATTATGGCCACTTCCTTGTTCTCTCAATTCAAACCAAGTTATCAATATCTAGTGACGTTGCCCCTGCTGCCATTCAGGTATGTGGGGTATAAAAACACGATTGCTGAGGCCTTTTTCCATCTCCCAAAATTGAAATTCGCATTTGCAGTACACAAAAAGAAATATTTTTGGGTGCGTGGCTTGAAAGTGAGCTGAAACGGTTACAGAGAGCATCGTTTTGCATACCACATAATGCTAAACCATAGTTTGAATAGTAATTAGAAGTGAACAGAACAATCAAAAGTACTCAGAATCCAGGACACCCTACACTCATCGGCATTAGAAATGGGATATCTGACAAATTGTTTGTGTTATTTCTTAAGATGAAGTACGAAATGCGTCTGTAGAAGCGAAATGATGGTGGAAGTTACTACAATTTATGACTCAATCCAAGCAACCTTGATGTTAGCCACATACGAGTACACACAGTACTCATTTTTACTATCGCTTCAGGGTCAATACTTCTAGTCAGTTTAAGAAAAGTTACGCAAGACGCATAAAAAGAACGTCACTTCTTTAACAGTGCAAGAAACTCTCATAAAATGCGTACTAAAGTTAATTTATGCGTTAATCAAAGTAATTCTGCATTTAAGGAGTTTGATCATTACTTATTTACATTTCCACCAAACGCTCTTGCATTGGGTCATTTAAATAAAAGTACAGCAGTTGTTTTCACACATGCTTGGCTATGTTTGGCTACTTCTGTGACCCTTGGCTTAAATTGGCAACCTTCTGGCCAGTTTTTCCAATTTTTTGGCAATGTTCTTGTTTTTTCAACTTGGCAACCCTGGCTGCCACTAGTAAGTCTTGAATATGTACATATGCAAGAGGACTCAACAACACTAAAGATATAACGTTTGGAATCTGGGTGCCAGTTCTTTTTTAAACTTTAACTTCACAGTCCATATCTGAGCAATATAGTACTATGATTAAAGCCGAACTTGAAAAATGAATATATATGCAGAGTAACTGCTAATATTGAAGAAAGAAGCCTTGTGAATTTAGAGTGAAGCGAGGTATACTTAACCCTTTACTGCCCAGTGTCACGAATTCATGACATACCGAAAAACTTCAAGCAAGCAAGTCAGGAATGTGTGCCATTTTTTAATGCAGGCTGTCAAGTACTCATGGCGAACACAGCTTTCAGCATTAAAAATCTAGCACTGTTTTGTGTAATGTATTTTATGCTAAAACCAATTGTTTTGTAGATGATGGCCGAGAGCGCGAAGCACATGAAGTCCCCTTCTCAAAACAGTGGCACTTTTACTGTATAGTTTGCAGTAACATGGACAGCAGTACATCCAAAAGACCCAAACCCACCACAATTACAGTAATAAAAAAAACAAATGCAGCACATACAATTAAAATGTCAGGGTCCAACCGTTGGAGCTTGGCAATGAGGAAAGTCAACAGAGAACGTTCAGAGTCCATCACTTCCAGAGAGGTGCCCTTGAAGCGTGCTACGTCATTCATAAAACGGCATGGGAAAAGTGTACCAGACGGCTTGGTAAGCGCTGCAACAAAAATAAAGAATTTTGATTAATGCACTCTGTATGTGTAAGAGTAAGTGAATAAGTAAACACTAGAGGTGTTTGAAAGTTCACATATTTTTCGAATAGTGTTTGCTATTCAATTCACTTTGCACCACAATTTCACTATTTGAACTACTCCAAGACAAATACAGTAAATGTCCGATTGGCCGTGGTTCTCTAAAAGTTTAAATATGCTTCATCCCATCACACTAGTACTGCAGCAAAGCTGCCTTTCAGGCGCTTTTATGGACGCTAATAAATTAACTAAAGAACAAACACCGGTTCTAACAAGGAGATGACAGATGTGGCAGAGATGGGGCTTAACTGACACCGTTTCGGACCTACAATACAGTTTGGCTTCTGCATTGTCTCATTTTTGATAAGACAACTAGAGAACACCACCCCTTCAGCTCTTCACCAATCTAACCAAAAAAAAGTGCTTTCATGTTGCTATCTCGTCAGAAAAGGCTTACGGGATCCTCTACAACTTTTTTGTGCAATTGTGCTTTGAAGATTCCAAAGATATTCGAGACACATTGAAAAATTATTTGATTAGCACTCAAACTTTAATATTCAAATTCGCTTCGCACCCAAAATTTTACTATTCACACAGCTCAAACTGTAAGAGAAATGTTAGTCAGATGGCACAGTGTACCACCTGTTTCGTGCGGTAGCTATATGATACCTTTGACTACAGTTAAAGAAACAGCATTCACTGGCATAAGTGAACTAGTGTGTTAGATGCTTTGTTCTAGGCTCACCGCAGAAATGAGTCTGATATAGAGACTGGGGTGCCTGCTTGTCAATGGGAAAAGCATGATGAGCCAGCACAGACACAGCGACAATCTGAAATGAGAAAATTTCTTGGTTTTAAAATACGAAAGAAGCTGTGATTAAAGAATCAGCAAGGATGTTATGCACAGCTTTCCAACGCTATAGTTCTTCCCCTTAAGGCAGCCACAAATTTCTGTGTGATAGAATGAAGACAACATATGCCTAAATACAAACAAAAGAAAGCCATTTAAAAAAGTAAAACATACATTTTAATTGAGTACATGGAGCACAGGCCTCAACGAGGAGCATGCCATTAAGTTTTGAAGTAGGGGTGTGGGAATATCAAAATTGTTAAATACGAATAGAATACAAATACATAGCTTCGAATACAAATCGAATATCGAATAATAAAGAGGGTCAATTTTTTTTCACCAGTAATTTTTTACTCAATCAAATATTTAGGTTGGAAACAGTACAATTGTTATTATAGTCAGTTATTGTGCACAAAATTTTTTTTAAAAATGTCACCATCTGTACTCAAAAGAAAGCATAAGAGTAATAGGTGAGCTTGTGACTGTGATGTTGGGTTCAATTCACATGATGAACAAACCTTTTGTGTCTTTTTTTTATGTGGTAGCACACTATTACAAAAAAAAAAAAAGAAATGAAATGAAAGCTTTTGTACCTTCCTTGATAACTAGTGAGCATGAGGCCACTGCTTTGATTTTGTAACAGGTAATGCCCGTGTACTTAAGTTTAGGCGATTAATAAAGCAATCTAGGTGGTCATAATTAATCCAGTTTTAGCTCGAAAGACCCCAATTTGATCAATTTAATTTTAATTTTGTCCCCTGTTCTTATATCCTGTCAAGTCACTAAGGAAAATAGGAGTACTTGGGGCATAGCAATACTTGTTATCTCGCCTGCTTCCGTTGCCTTTCTCGAGGACCGCGCTCGTCATTTTACGATCAAAAATGCTGTGTTTTTTCGTTCCTCCCTTCTTCTCCTCGTGTTTCACGAAATGTGTTTCGCGCCTCAGCCATCTGCACCAAGCGAATTTTAGGTTCGAAGCGAATCGTGATTTTTGTCGAATAATTTCGTATCGAATTTGAATAGTATATATGACATATATAAAATGGGCATACTCATCATGACCTAACCTGCACAAATTAAAAAATGAATGAAATACAGCCTCTATGCAAATTCCCCCTTTTTTTTTTCATTCACAAGAGGTCGAAAGAACTTCGAGTAGGTAGTAGCAGAATGTTACTTTCAGCAGGATGCGAGTCATAACCCTTAAAATACGCAACATTTGAAGATTTTTTATACTTGGGGTATATAAGCCGTCATTACTAGCTTTTAAGCTTAATAAAATGAATCGATTTGAGTGTAATATTTTCACTTAAAGAGGCCGTGCAACACGTTTTCAAGTTGCAATGGAATGCATTCACTAAATAAGCTTATTTATTACCTCATGAATTCACCGCCACAAATATTTTCCATGCCAGAAGCCGTATAACTTTAAATTTCTCTTCCGGCATGGAAGCTAAACAGGGAGGGATGGCACGAGAAAAAGAAATACGTCACACGTGCTTTATGAGCTTACGAAGTCATTTGCCAAGCGAAGAAAAGAATTTTCAGCTGGCTTTGAGAAATTATTGTGAATCGCATGCCGCATGCTGCCCTATAATATTTGGTTTGTGTGTCCTCGGTAGCCTCGACTACCGATGGGCAGCATTTTCTGAAAATGCTCAATAAGTGTTGCAGGGCCCCTTCGCGGCAGAGCGGATTTCTTCTGAATAGATGCGTTCACGGTTCAGCACCCTTACACTGCAGTGAAACCACTTTTACAGGCGGTACATACGGATTAATATGCATTTATTCGTTCTTTGCGAATACTTCGAACTTTTCAATATTTTAAATTCGAACCAAAGCGAGTTCGAATACCCTACATTTGTTTGAATATTCGAAGCATTTGAATAATCGCACATGCCTACGAACCTATATTTGTGAACATCGAATATACGAGAAATATTCGAGTTAGTTCGAATATTCGAAATTTTTGAATAACTGGATATGGAATCGAATACGAATATTACAAATGCAATATTCGCCGAATATTCAAAACTTTTGAATATTTGCACACCTCTAGTTTTAGCATTCCTGCCTGGGGCAAATGTGGTAGTTATACACTTGCAACAGATTAAAAAAGACTTCCATTTACGGTGACCCTTGTTTCCAAGTAAACAAAAAAAATTATAAGGAAAACATTATGCAGGAAGGAGAAAAACACACTAGGCAGTTAAACAGACACGCTACGCAGGAAAACAATCTGAAGTCAATAAAGGTACTCTACTTCCGCCTCAAAAGTAATGCACTGACAGAGCTAGCAAAGTATTGGAGCTATACATGAACTAGATTGTAGCGTTATAGACCGGATACAAGATGCAGGTAACCAACATCCACTTGCTGTCAAACCTTCTATATATCAAATCTGAATGGGATAGCAGCAAAGTATTATATATGTAGGTAATTTCATACATTGAGAGTATATTCAAGTGGATTTTGCAACTGCACAATGCACATAAGAATTCTTTATACAGTCGAGCCCACATATAACGGCCCCACTTAAAATGAACAATATCCACGTGACCGTGAACATATACATTAGTTTAATGGCACGAAATCGCACTTACAACGAACGTCTCCGAGTGCCGTCGATCGGTTACAGTGAACGGGGTCGGCGCTCTGCCGACTTCCCGGGAAACCACTTTCTACTACCGATCAGGCATCAGCGAGGTGCCTATACATTCTTATTGTTAAACGCCGACCCTGCTTCTGCGCCCCTCTAGCTGCCGCTCTCCCCGAATGCTTTTTGTTACGCACCCCCGCTACTCTTGAGAACCTTGCATCGCCAGACGAGGCCCGCGTTTTCATACTGCCACCGATCTTTCGAAGGCGGGTCAGCCATCTTCCCTGTTTTTGATCGCTGGTACTGTCGATGGCGTCGCCAGCCTGTAGTCGTCGGCCACCGACTCTATATATAACGTCGTCGGCCACCGACTATCTGATCATGTCCGCCTAGTGCATGGGCGTAGGCTACCCACCAATTCTGATAATTCGCGATTCATTTCGTGTTTAGGACCTGTTCTCGCTCACTTCACACTCGGCTTAGCAAACCCTCCTCACGTGTGCGGAAGCACGCAAACGGCTGTTAATTTGCGCGAAACAAATCGCGAAACATTGAAGTCGATGAGGCCACGAAAATCCGCCGGCGCAACAAACGACTTTTTACCACGGCCACCAATTCTTTGAACATCGCCGCGCGTGCCGATCTAGGCAGCTGTGGTTTGACTTCTGCGCATGCAGGCACAGTTTCAAGTTTTTGTACCCGCGAGTGGTGCGTTCCACGGACCTTTCAAGCAAGCTACTCGACCTGCCTTCCTCCCGCGTGTTTTGGTTTTTAAGGTCGCCCCCCCGCCGTATCCTCCCCTCTCTTCTCTCTACCGCAATTCCTCGCCTTTCTCTTGCAAATCGGCTCTCCTCTCTAGATCACAACTCCTTCGCACATCTCCAACGCTCCGCGACGGCAGCCATGCTGGCTCGAATTCAGAAGTTTCGTTTTCCGACTAGAAACGGGCCCAGAGCTGTTCCACGAGTTTTGGCATGTGTGTCTCGTGTGAGCTTCTGGCTTGGTGTTCGTGTGTGGTCAGGATGGCAGACGAGAAGACTTGCACGCTTTTTTCTGCCGCTCAACAAAACGTCCAAAGTGTGCCCACTTGGCTTGGGCGTAATCCGCACGTTAGGTGCGGCGTTGCAGAGCGCTTGCTTATAGCTGTTGACCACCTGTCAGCCAACTTGCCGTTTTGGGCGTCCCGGTATTGAGCTGTGGAGATTGTGCATATTTCTTGGGAGGCGGTGACGGCTACATGCATGTGACACTATTTTCGCGAGGCCGACTTCGTCGACGTCGGGCCCGATGCTGAGCATGAAACTTCCCGACAGAGCCACTACAGTGGCTATTTGTGGCAGCGCGGTGTCGACTCCGACATGAGAGAGCGGGTGGGACATCTGTTGTGATGGTTTCATTATGGCCGATGATGATGCCGACACCGCGGAACCGTGCACGAATTAAGACATTGTGAATGAAGTACGCGGCAAGAGCGATTTGGAGGAATTGGATTGCGAGAACGATGAAACTTTGGAGCCAGTGCCTCATGAAGCTTAGCCACGGGCCTCGGTGAACGAGCACGCTGCCGTTCGAAATAAGCTCGAGACCGCCCATATCGCTTCTGCCCTTGTAAACACGAGCATCACGGACTTTTTTGGGCAAAAAATGTTTGTGTTCTCACTCACAACTTTTTAAAAAGCTGTGTTTCATTTATGACGAACTTCAGGATACAGCGAACGGATGCCGCGCCAGGCTCAGGTTCGTTATAAGCGGGCCCGACTGTATATGTGGGTTTGACCGTGCTAACAGCGTGCGTGAAGTAACAATCAAAACATTGAGAGGTGTACAAATGACCAACCTCATTCTGACTTGTGACCGGGTTATGGACCGTTCGCACACTGAGGGTCGCTGCAACAAGGGGTGGTGGAGCCTCTGCCTTAGACACCACGACATCCTCTGGCCTGTTCAACACAACCTGCAACGAGAGTAGAATTATGAATGGCTAATTTAGCTGGTTGGTACAGGTTCATAACTGAAACCTCAATATAACAAACCCAGATATAGTGAAATATTGAATATAACGAAGTAAATGAAGAATAGTCTTGCAAAATATAGTGTTAGAAATATACCTTTAAAACGAATTTTTGGATATAATGAATTGTTTTAGTATATATGCAATTTTTTATGAGGTTTGGGTGTACTATAGCGCAAAACGTGATGACAAAGGGGGGAAATGAGTGATAAGAGAGGACGAGTCACAAATTATCAAATGGAATTGATATCAATAAAACTCGTTTTTCTTATAGAGGCATTAAGCTTTTTGTCAAGCATGAACACTGTAACCATATGCTGTAACGTCGTTTTGTGCCGAAAAAAGCACTGGCATCACACAGTGGATACCTGCACTCCTTGATGTGCGACTACGATGTGGCAAGACACACAGTTATGTACACAGCTACATAAGTGGTCCTAGGGTTCATCCCATAAGGCAGTATATTTTTTTCCTTAAACAAAGCAGACTTCAGTGTTCAGAGCCCACCCAACAACAAAGAGATTCATAATACTTGCCTCTACTTTGCACCAGCTGACTGGAGCGCTTGAAGATGCTGAGTGTTGCAAAAAGAAAAGAGAAACATGACACATCAAATGATATTTCCAAAAAAAAAAAAAAGAAAGAAATATGTGACTACAAGAATAATTTCTCAATAAGTACTCTCAGAGAAAAAAAAGGAGGGGGGATGAGGGAATAATAGTGGTAATACATAGCAATGGCACAAAAGCAACACTGATGTTCCATCTCACATCTCCTTTGCATTTCAAATTGAGTTATTCAATACATGTGTGAGAAATATAAGCATGCTTAAAAGGCAGCTTGAGGTGGATGCTCATAGTTGTGTCAGACAATACACTTTGCTGAGCAGTTGGCTGCAAGTGTTTCATCTTCCCATAAATATTTCCCTTCCATTATTACTGCAATATTAAAATAATGATGTACTTTGCCTTGTTACACATGCATTGCATCCTGTAACCACACTTGATAAGACTGTGTAATCTTGCAAGGAACTTGACATTTGCTTTCCGGAAGTCTGTCAAACACCAGGAAAACTAGGAAGACATTACACTAGGCTTGTGCGAATACTCGAGTGCTTTGATTCGAATTTAAATTGTTGAAAATTTTGAAGTATTCAATATGAACAAATAGGTGTTATATTATTTTGCATGTAACCCCCTGTACAGATAGTTTCACGGCATTGTTAGAGTGCTAAGCCGTGAAAACATTCAATGAAATGTAACCTTCTGTAGAGGTGGTTTCGCTCCAGTGAAGGCATGCTGAACCGTGAAAACACCTATTCAAGAAAAATGCGCACTGCCACAAAGCCCCACTTCAAGGCAGCAATTCATCAATTTTTACAGCGAAAGCTGTTATGAGATCACAACTCTGGTCTTGTGCAGCACTGTAGTTGTCCGCCGCAGGTGTCTGTAACCACTGCCACATGAAATAAGAAAAAAAAAAAACCTAGCACCAATGACACAGTGGGGCTCGAGCCCGGGTCGGTTGGGTGCAAGCCCACTGAGCCATGCTGGTGCTTGGGACTTGTTGGCAAACTAGCCTTAGGCAAGCTTAATGCTGGAAAAGCTTAATGCTGGGAAAGAGAATATGAGTAATAAAGCGTTTTAATACAGCAAAAAAACAACAAGGCGTCACACAATGCGAATAGCGTAACGAGTGGGTCGTGCGATGCTCCAACAGATTACAAAAGCTTGTTTTTGATCGCCTATTAACTGTGGCGCTAGCCACTTCAGGCATAATTCCTCGTCGTCAGCCACTGCATGAACAATTGGCACAAAATTCCTAGCAAGTGTTTAGCGGATACCACGCTTCTGAGAAAAATGACAAACAATAGCATAGCGAATGCCGGCCTACTACCCAAAAATGTTTATTATTACGCCATAATGGGTATCAAGCAAGTGTGCTTGCAGGAGTTACCCCAATGAGTGTTTAGAAGAGGCTCTGAGAGGCCGCTCTTTTAGCTTTCGCTGTGACTGTGCTGTGCCTTCTGTGCAGGCCTGGCGTTTAATTTTTTAAGCTTAAAAGCTTGTTATACTAGCTTATACGCTCTAAGTATAGTAACTATTAAAATGTAGCATATTTGACAGTCTATCACTTGCATTGTACAGAAAGTCAAATCCAGCTAATATTTAAAATTGTTTCTTTTCCTGTTGAACCAAAATTACCTCATCTTCACAGGCCTCATTTCAATATATATATATATATATATATATATATATATATATATATATATATATATATATATATATATATATATATATATATATATATATATATATATATATATATATATATTGAGCATGTAACTTGGGTAACGAAAAATATGCCCATTTTTCTTTTTAACATGTGATACATATGCTATTTGAATTCGATTCAAAATTATTCGACCAAAATCGCTATTCACTTCGAATATAAAATTCACGATTCGCATTCGCATAAGCCCACAAAAACATGACAATTTATTCAGAATCACGTTGTGAATGAAGCTCCTTCATAACCTATTCATAACTTCAGCAGAAAAAATATGTTTCAGTCCATTTCTTGCATCTCCACCATCAATAAAAGCCTGAATTAAGCCAGGAAGTATTAAAAAAAGTTTAAGTTTCAGTGCAAGCTACAATGTGTCTGCAACCGAACTTTGGAGAAAATGCTGTAGTTATGAAAATGGTCTAACTGATTTTTATTCAGTCCATGATCCGGAAAATGCATAATCACTGTAGATGCACCTAGTGTAAATTGTTACCATTGAAGGGTTCGGGCCATCTGCTCTAAGAAATCGAAATAGCCGATAAAAAACTAAAATATTTATTAATAAAGAAACATTTAGAGAAACACACTGGAATAACATGAAACTCAGCAGCCGCAACAGCGCCAACTATTGTAAATATTCCATTGCCCCTGCGGGACCCACCCCGAAAGCTCACACAACGGTCTGTCGCTGACTGTGCGGTCGACGTGTCAGCTGCTCCTTTTGAACTGCACAACTGTGCCTTGCACATCGCTATTGCGCAGCACGTGTCATGCTGAAAAAAGTCATGTGATGGGTGTGACCCTCACAAGAGCAACTGCTATTTGAATCAGCTCCATGATGAATGAAAAAAAAAAAAAAAAGAACACAGATGTCTATTATACAGCACTTGTTATTCACACACTGCGTGCAATTTCTAATTTTTTTTTTTGCAGGCAAGATGAGAAGTCCCTGGAAATTTATACCATTCATTTGAAATATTATTTTCCTCAGATATCATAATTTAAAGCTTTAAGTAGGAGCATACAAATGCAGCCACAATACCTGATAACAATAATGCAAAGCACTTAAAAGGGCAGATGTGATTCGACAAAAAAAAAGTTGCGTAAGTCTGTAGCCTAGGGTAATTAAATTGTTGCTGTATAATTAGGCTTCCATATTGATTCCAAGTATGTAATTATATTTTATAGTAAGCAGCACAGTTATGATTTTGTGCCATGACAATGTATAAAGTATAGCTCTTAATGAACAAACGTTTTCTGCCACTAAACTTTTATGGTTCTGAGCCAATAATGGTTTCTTACTGCTCTACCATTACTGTGTATTGCAAATAATTATCAAGAAAGTGCATATAAAATGTTTTCAAGGACAAAAAAAATTGTAATGTGAGAAATCGTAAAATCCTCAACCCGTACCGATTGCTTACTTTAGGTTAGCAGTAAGTCTACAGGCGATATCAAGTTTTAAAGCAGACACTTGCACCCTACACATGTTGAGGATCAGGTGAGAATAATTTCATCCCGATCGGGCTGCCAGAAGTACCAAAAATACGATTTTCAAACTCAAGAATTTGCCGAAAAATGGATCTTGAGACAAACGAATTGTATAGGTTTAAGTGAAAGGCCACCTATGCGGGGAAGAATACGTATTCAAGATGATTTCTTCCTTCATGAGAGCTTGGCAATCATTGTTATTTTGAGCACGTGGCTTTAGTGAACTCATGCGAAATGCAATTGCAAGAGTGACAATTTCCAGGGGACTTAAGACATTGAGCTCTTCTTGGTTTTTAGTAGCCCCCTAGTGCTCCTTCAAAGCAATATTAACCTACTTGGAGTTTATTCACAAGTTTAGGTTTTTTTCAGTGAAAGTAGAGAAGCTAAACTCGTGAAAGCAGATAAAAACAAAAATATGTTTTGTGTAAAAAACTTCCGTTTTTCAACTCGCACCTCTTCTTAATCATTAAAAAGAAGAGAGGCAAAGAAAAGGCCACTCACATGGATTCTTAAGCTCAAGCCAGCAAGGCCCTTTTAGCTTCTGGTTAATGAGCAGAGCTTCCAGGCTTGACGTGTTCATACCAAAGGCAGCACTGAAGGTCTTCCCAGTCAAATCACTAGGCAGTGCAGGATAGCGAGCCTCGATACAGGAGAGAAAAAAAAATTAAAAAAATAAAAACAGAAACAGCGAGTGACATAAAAAGGATAGACCCACAAAGCTTTTCTACTCTATTGTTTCCAAAAGCTTTGCACCAGAGTAGAAGCGCTCCCTTTTGTCCCTTCCCTTGTCCTATGTTTCTAAACGCGCTACGTCGATCAACATTGCACCATTTTGCTGCCACATCAAATTTTGTCAAAGGGGCACTAAAGAGAAAAATGATTTTTTCGTTATTAGTAAATTACCCTTTCGCAATTCCAAAATCACTGCGCTCGCCACGAGAACTTGCTTGGTAAGTGAGAAAACACGCAAAAAAAAAAATAAATAAAGTGGGTGCTGACTACACCTTGAAATTCCTGCGCCAAACAAAGCCATGGCATCATGAATTTTGACAGTGTTTACTATGGCGCACGTAACCCTTTATACGCAAAAATGAAGCTCATTATCTGCGGCCGGGGCCACAGACATAACATAGCAATTTTCAAGAAATTTCATGACGCCGATGACGGTAAAATATGACAAATAAAATTTGATATTCAAAGTGCCACGAGCACAAATTTTGGCGTGAAATTTAAAAATGGTGCCTTGATTTTCTCCTTTAATGATGAACTCATGATGTCAATGACATCATTAACTATCATGCATAAACCACACGAACATTTCAGCTTGATACTTACAGGGTACAGGATTTCCAGATACCTGGCTTCCATTGGTACACCCTTTTTACCAAAGGCATAAAGCTTTGTGGTCACCTGTAGAATGGAAATACCAATGCATGCTGAACCGAACCAGTTTCCTGATGCCAATTCAGAGGTAGCTTAACTACGTAGCTTCCCTGTGAGATACTACTAGCTTTGCGTCCTGCACTACTTAAGAGGTTCCCGATGGCAGAGAAATCTTTCTGCTGATATTTTTTTTACTTTATGACGCGAACTTTCGTCCTTGTTGCTATTACGCGGACATGCACATGCTCCGCGAACTTTTGTAGCCGTTGATTTGCTGGCCACAAACCTAAACATCATATCATGCGTGCTGCTCTTGGATTAGTGCTTGAGCACAATCCCTCTGACACCCAAACTTCATGTTGTTTTGTACAAACTTTCCGCAACAACATGCTGAACCGTAGCCTAGGCCTAATCCCTGTTGTTTTAGGTGGCGGTCGCGGGCTATCAAAGTTACTACGGTTTTGTATCGAATCAACGCAGCTCTCTTTGGTGGCCCTACTTGAAGGAAACCTCCTATTAGGTGGCGCTTGTAACACTTTAACGGTGGTTCATGATTTGATTGACATGTCTTGGATACGGGGGGCGAGCCAGTGAAATCGAGCGATCGATACCGTTCAGCGCATAAAAGGGCATAAAATTTTGGTCGTGAAACTTTGCATAACCTAGGTGGCCTGAAACGTAATCGACGAATTCCCACTTCTTCTCGTTATTTTTTTTTTTGCGCTCACTTCATCGGCAACGCGGGTCTCTCACTGTTAAATTCTCGAAATTTGAATACGCACTGCATCGCATGTTTCGGTTCTTTATGAAAGCCTATGAAAGACGCTGTTTCAGCTGTAGTGTGGATATTCGTGAATTCGGTGACGTATACGGTATCTGCGGTCACTAGTCAGAAATAAAGTTTTCGAAAATTTTACCCCGTGTAATAGGCCCACCTCAAACTTGGAGCTGGATTTTCAAGAAACAAATCGCACATATTAGGCGACTAAGTATGGTATATTTTTGAAAGCATGGTTTCACTGCGATTATAGTGACAAAGAAGTGCAACTTCTTTCCGAGTCCTAAATAACGGTTCTGTGTGCAATCATCAAAGGACAGCATGTCGCCATATTGGTAGTGAACAACAGTAGACATGTTCAGGTAAAATGCATCGCGGCACATAGTAAGAAGAACTAAGAAGCAAATGACACGAATGCTGTATGTACGGTGCTGCACATTCACTTGGTCATGTCAACCTACCAACTTGCCCAGCGTGTGGTGTTAATCGACAGTAGACTTGGACAAACCATGGCGGAAGGTAACGAAATGAAGTTCCTTCCACGTGGTTAGCGTGAATAAAGCAAACATGGTTCCATATTTGTTTATGTGGCTAAGCAGCCAGCCCAAACACAACAGAGAGTAATTTGAGATTTCTGTGAGTGGTCCTCCTTCAAACAGCAGATTTAAGATAAACTGATGACTTGACACAGGAGACAAAGTAGCACAGTTATGTCCTCTCATATTTATTATTGTCCTTTTCTTTTTTTTGTAATTTAATTTTTTCGAAAGTAATTACATACCTTGGTCTTGAACTCTTCAATCCGGTGCTTCTCGGCGATTTGTGTGAATTCGTCATAGACTGTTTTCATAAGTGCCATTTCTTCTGTGTCATCAGATGCCTTTGGAAAAGAAAACAGCATACATGCTATGTTAAATAAAAGCGCAAGTGTCATTTGCATAACAGCACGAAGCACAAAATTCATTTTGTGCAGAAGACTATTATCAGCCAATCACAATGCTGAAATCTAACAAAATTGCATAAAACTGCTGCCCAGGATGTGAAATTCAAGGAACCATATACAGTAGACTCCTTTTAAACGAAACACGAAGAGACCAGGAAACTGTGTTTTCCTTAAGAGAAGCTTCGTTCATTGAGAGATAAACAGGGGGACAATATCCAAGTAGGAAACCAAGCATATTAATGGCAGTTGTTCCATTTAAGCAGCGATTTCGTTTAAGAGAGTTTCGTTGAAAAGGGGTCTGCTGTATATGAGAATTTGATGGCAAAGGGGACACCGGACTGACATTGACATGTTAGTCCACACCAATGTGCACAACATACGACATGTATCAAAACACTGCATGATCTATGCATATAAAAGGCACAACAGCTGCACAATGTGCACTTTCATCCTAAAACATCAAAGTGGCATTACTTTCACCTGTTTTTACCTTAAAGGTAAAAACAGGTGAAAAAAGTTTTTACCTTAAAGGTAAAAATACCTTCTAATTCTTTTTTAACACATTTACAGCATGGTCAGACAATACTGCCGGTTGGCATTCGATGCTCCTGAGAACATGCAAGCCAAACATGATAGCGCAGCACAAAGCCTGGAATTTACTATTAAACCTCAAAGTCAGTGAAATCCTTCACTCTTATCTCTGCAAATGATGTCATATACCAAAAGTTTGTGGCTATTGGCCAATTCGAGCATGGTAACTTGCATAGTTGCAGTGACGGCCACATGGCCGTGCAGGCACCCACAATCTCACTGAAAGTAAGCCGTGCGTTCAATGAAGAAGAAAACAAGAAAGTGCTCAAGATAACGATCCACGCTGACGAAGGAATGCACCTTCTTGGTCCCTAGTCATCCCCCTCGTCGTGTAGCTTTCATTACTTTTGCTAGAATGAAAAAAGAAAGCGCTCGAAACATGCGACAAATTTTTGTACTTCCGCTTTTACTTGACAAACTTTGAAAATTTGTTTGCAACAGTTGATTTGGGAGGCAAAAAGTGTTTTAATGAAGGCACTTGACAATCGCTTGGAAAAGTGCTGCTGGGCTCCTTTAACACTAAGGAACAAAGATCAAGACAACAATACAATTCTCGTCTAAAGAGAAGTATGAGCAACTACAAAGCTTAGGTTACACTTGAGCATACTGGCATGCTTCATTCTAGTCTACCGACCTATTGGTGTGCACGGGCAGTGCGATACAGCTTCTGTGCAGACATTTGCTCCACTCAGATATGCATGGGGCTCGTCACATGCCAGAAGCCGTATAACTGACAGAACGCATGGTTGTCTGAGCGTCCCATTGGTGAGTGGCTGTGTAATGGCACCCCACGGCACCTACACAGCTGTGCACGCACTCAAAATTGAGCAGACATATGAGCTCAGACTATGAAGGTTAGCCTAAAATCCTTGGAAGACACTTGCCGATTCGTTTGGTAACAGGAACAATCTCCTAGGAATGTTTCGAACTGTGACACAACAGCTGACATGTGTTTTGGAATCCGGAATTCTAACTTTTCCAAACATGTGAACCGTGCCTGGAATAAAGAGAAAAGGACATGCAGGTAAGACAGGAAATAGAAAATAAAATTTAGCCATCACCTGTTATACTCTTTAACAATTTCACAGAGAACCTCCTTTGGCAATTTTTAAGTGAGGCCTAAGTGTAGAGTTTTTTTAAAAGCTGCAGCTATTCCTAAAATATTGCTTTTTAGCGTTTTTATAGTATTTATCAACGTCTGAAATAGCCCCATGACAGGTGCATTTCCCGGCCACTGAAATGCACGTCCGGAATCAAATTTTACTAAACTTGGAATTTTCCTGATGTCTACAATCCTCCATTTCGGCTTTCACTGTTGACCTAAAGTGGACTTTTATTTCACCAATACCAGAAAATTTAATGAGGCAGTCATAGGAAGTTTTCTTCCTTAACATTTCTTTTGCACTGCCAGTACAATGCATTCATCAACTCATGTATTATTGTACATATCTACATTGTCTTCACTCAGAGGACAACAATTTTACTAATTAGGAATGACACATGCCCCAGCATATGCTGTGATAATCTATAACATCCCATTCATTGATTCAGGAATTTCAAGGCAGGGGCGTCACCCGAGTTTTATTTCTGCGCGTTTTCTGGTTTACCAAGCGTCTTCTCACGACAAGCATGGAGATTTTGGTATATAAAGGAGTAATCTACTAATACAGGAAATATCGTTTCCCGCTTAAGCGTCCTTTTAGAGCGACACTTCGAATCTGTGTGTCATCGGTTTGGATGGCTGTGGCCTGCTCTATATTTAGCTGAGCCTGACGACTAAAAATCCATGGCTGAGCCCTCAAGCTCCCACTTTATTTACCTGGATTTTTGAAGTAGTCCTCGAAAGCATCGAGCCAGAAGAACTGCACAACGCTTTCACCCTCTTCATTTTCTACAACTGGTAAACCATCCAGGCAAATCTCAGCAGATGGCACCACCTCACTCGCATGCAGACCATTCCATTGTGGGAAGCTGAAAAACAGTGAACACGTGGCATGCACACTGCTTTGTACAGTTGGATCCCATGTGACAGGAACACCAAATATATTTAGATTAATAGAGTATCGTATCTTCCTTGGCAATTCGTGCAATTTTCCCACATCTTCTTTTTTTCTGTCTCCAAGGAGGAGACATAAAAAATATAGAAAAATTGCGTTACCATGTCTTCAGCAACATGTTCAAATGTCATGATGTGCAAACTATTGCACTTAACCTTATTACCCTGAAGGTATTGAAATAAATAAATAAATAAATATTCCAACTGCAAAATCTGCTATTTACGCATAGCTAAAAAAAGTAATAATGAAAAGCTAATCAAAAGTGAAAGCCGATGACGATAAATGCCAATAAACTGCCACAAAGATGATGCCCAAGCACACTACTTCAGGACCCTAAAAATTGGGGGGGAGGAGGGGGGTCAAGGAATTCTGTTCTACCAGGTAGGAAAAGTAAGAAAGGAACATCAAGCACAACATGCGAAAACAAAACAATTAGATTGATTGATTGATTTGTGGGGTTTAACATCCCAAAACCACCATTTGATTATGAGAGACGCCGTAGTGGAGGGCTCCGGAAATTTCGACCACCTGGGGTTCTTTAATGTGCACCCAAATCTGAGTACACCGGCCTACAACATTTCCGCCTCCATCGGAAATGCAGCCGCCGCAGCCGGGAATCGAACCCGCGACCTGCGGGTCAGCAGCCGAGTACCTTAGCCACTAGACCACCGCATCGGGGCAACAAAACAATTAGAGAACCATTACGATAAGAGAGCCGTGTGATAGCATGTAGGGGTGTAAATACAGAGGAGCATTTCAAGACTGTGACAGGGAACATATCTATCAGCAGAGGGACAATAGTCTCGCATTCCCTGATACATGTATGTGCTTTTGCGTAGTGACGTGCTACAGAGTGAAAACGTGCACCGTTTCATTAGAATGAGATGCATGCTACCACAAAAAACTAAAACTTTTGTGCAGTACATAACTTACTCATACCATCACAGCTGCTTCATTATGCTGAGACTGAGAAGTGAATTGAAGGGGTCCCAGACGAGTAAGCAGTGCTATAGCATGTATCCGCTGTTGCTAGGCTTGCGCGAATATTCGAATGAATAATGCAGTTTTCGAATTCGCTTCAGATCGAATTGAAACTATTAAAAATTCCAAATTATTTGAAATGAACGAATAAATGCATATTAGTTCACATGTTACATTAGTTTGCATGTAGCCCTTTTATAAAAGTGGTCTCACTGCACTGAAGTGGTGCTATGCCGTGAAATTGCACTATGAGAAGGAATCCGCACTGCCGGGAAGCCTCACTTCAAGGTTAAATGAGGATATTACCCTCACATCGAAGCTTGTTATACCGACCTATATGCTCCAAGTATAGCTAATTTTAAAAGGTAACATATTTTACAGGCTCTTACGTGCATTTCACCGAAAGTCAATTCATGCTCGTAAAGTTTACTCCATTTTTTCCTTTGGCGACTTGCACAGGCCTTCTTTCAATTTTTCAGATATTGTGCAGGTTAGTTAGGTCACAACAATAGTGTCCATTTTTCTTGATATGCGACATGTATACTATCAAATTCGATTCAAAAGTATTTGACCAAAATCCCTGTTTGCTTCCAACCAAAAAATTGACCATTCAAACAAGCCTAATTGTTGCCTAGTAGAAGTAACCCGTGTGCTTGGAATGCTGCAGTGCCCCACTCACTGCCATGCAGATATTTGAAGATGGTATCATGAAAGTGCTGTCAGCAATAAGTTGTGTAATAGAATGTCAGTGACACTGAGAGTCTATGGAACTGCTGCTTAAACGAAACAACTTCCTTTAATATGACCAGTTTCATACTTGAATTCTTCACCGCTGTTCATTTCTGAGTGAATGAAACTCTTTTGAACAGAAAACACCTTCCTTATTCTCTCAGGTTCTGTTTAATGAGGGTCTAGTGTGCTGGTGCATTAGCCAGTGGCCACCATCCCACTTCCGAGCAGTTCAAATGCTTATATGTACACGGCTAACTGCCGCAGCCTTACCTAGCATCGATGCACTTTTACAAAGTGAGCGATTTGTCGGCTCAAAAACACAGCTTTCATTTTCATCACAGAAAAGTGCAACTCGGACGGCATGGCAATGCCCCTCTATATGCCCTTTTCGTCAAAGAAAACATTTAAACTGAAGAAATTTCGAATCCCATCAGCATTGACTAATATACGCAAACAGTGTTGTTCCCTCTCTTTGTTCGTGTGTGAGTGTGCGCTAAAAATAAGCTATGCTGCCTAGCCAGCCACACTCATAACAACTTATTAATAGAGCTCAAATAACTTTACTGTTGATATTCCCGATGATGATGGCGTAGTTCCATTTATTATGCAAAGGCAATGCCCCTATATGCCCTTTTTATCAAAGAAAAAAATTATGCTAAAGAAAATCCGAATCCCATCAGCATTGGCTGATTTACCCTAACAGCTGTGTAGGCTACATATTTGTGCACTTGCTGCCACATAGTGCCAGATGGAACTCTAAGTTGTATTTGGTGTCCTCATGCGAGCCTGATTGGGTTCTGCAAAATGCAAAAGTGGAGAGGACACTTCCATTTGCGCATCCCTAACGACCAACAATAATGCCACCTCAAAGAGTTTGTGCACCTCCTCCAGTTTCATTGTGAAGTGCAGCACAGCCATTAACTCATAGACAACAGGCTTCATATTCTGCAATGTCACATTAAAAATAAAAGGACTGTGAAAGATGTATAACAATATGCTAAAAAAAAAAGTGTTTCTGAAGCAGGGTCTCCCATCAAGCAGAACATATTTTCCCGGTCCCTTCAGGCCCTGTCTAATGAGAATTTACTGCATGTCAACCAAAGAAGGCTAAAGCTTATAAATAAGAATAAAATGGAAAATCACCCATTGTCCACCTCCTTTGCCGTCTCCTTTTTGACACCAGTCTTAGCCTCTTCTCTGGTGCTAACTTTGGTTTCTGTGCTGACCGTTCCACTTGCCACTTCTGCTAGAAAGTCATTGTCTCCTTCATCAGCAAAGCATGAGAAATCTTCATCTGTTCAGAGGAAAAAAAAAGCAACAATGTAATAACAGTGACAAGCTACACCGATTTACTTCATTTTATTCGTAGAAACACTATGCAGGTAGTCCATAATGACAGTGTCCAAAGCAGTGCTAAAAGGTTGGTGTCACGATTGAATCGGTTGCCTGCGCAGCGTTCCTAAATACGAAATGTGCTGTGCCAGCCAGTTGCGCAAGTGAAAGCATGCATAGCAACTATGATAGCAGAACACAAGGACCAAGATTCAACTGCCAACTGTGTTGAAATGAGGTAAAGTTGACACATTCAAACTTTCATATTAAAGAAGCCCTGAAACATTTTTTAAGGTAACCATGGAATGAATTCACTGGAAGAGCTTATTGCCTCACGAATTCAACGCCGCAAAAATTTTAAGAATTCGTCCAGTCGGAGTGGAGTTACAAAGATTTGTCACATGTTGCGATTGCATTCTCTTTTCTTTTGTCCTAACGAAAGCGCTGGAAGCTAAGCAGGGAGGGATGGCAGGGCCGCAGAAAAATGTCATGCGGGCCTCGTGACCTTAAGCACTTTTTTCTTTTTTTCTTCGAATGCGTGGCATTTTCAGTGTGATCGCGTGCGCACGCGTAGACAAGTAGCGGCCTTCCGTGGCGATCTCTATAACGAGCGAGCGCGCCATGTTTAAATTAGCCAATGGCTGATAGATGGGCTTGCTACGTGTGATTTTTGGGTATTTTTCGTGATTTGTCAAGAGAAGAGGAAGCAATTTAGAGCTGACTTTGATCATTTATTGTGAATTCCAGGTCGCGTGCTGCTATAAAATATGGCTCGCGTGTTGTCGGGAGCCTCTCCTACCAATAGGGAGTGTTTTCTGACCATGTTCATAAAGTGTTGCAGGGCCCCTTTAAATATCAGACACTAGGGCTAAGTCCATTTGTGAGAGTGGCCGAGTACTCTTGCTGGTAAACGCATTTCAACAGACTTCAAAAACGGCTACTTAATGCCAAAAGTCTACTTTGAAGTAAATAAAATATCATAGCATAATTCAGCAAAAATATATATATGTATACCGTGCCTCTATGCTTCCCCAGCACTTTGGCGCAGTACTTCATAGCACCGCTCCTAGATCGCAACACCATTCCTGCTAAAAGCGGTTAGAACTGTGAGAGACCGTGCATAATGAGTATGTATAATGAAACCTGCTTGTGCTCGTGGTGTAGTTGCCGACATAGCCGTCTTCTATGCCCCAGAGCCATAGAGTTGGTGGCTTAATTCCCCAATAGGGCAATGCAGCCAAAGTTGTTCTTTGAACTTCTTTATAACTCATTCGCACGCCCTTTTACTGACATCTCAGTTCCATGACGGAAACGGCATAAGTCAAGTCTTCGTAGACTCCAGCATAAAACACTTTTTCCTTAGAAAGGAAGATAGAGACAGTAAAGCTGATACAAATAACCCACAAGTCCTTCCATTTACCTTCAGACTTGACTGCTGCATCAGCAGGGGAGTCCTCGTCAATGTTTGGACTGTCTTGCATGACATCTTCACTGTAAAACTCATCTATATCAACCGGCTCCTCCTTGACGCGGGTTTTTAGTTTAGTGTGCATGCTGGTGTCGGCATTTTCATAATTGATGGTACGTGGCTTGAAGGATTCCCTCATAGGCTGGCTCTTGGGTTTATCCTTGGCAAACGGGTTGAGCGGTGACCTACATGATGAGATTATAGAGGATATGTACCATGAACAACGATTTCTCTAAGCAGCTTTGTGCATAGTAGAGGTCACTACATTATTCCCTTCTAGTTTGGTTTTGTAATTGGCTGCTGCTACTCCATACCTCTTTTTCATAGACAAAACTCCAAGATAAACATATTTTTCTGGCCCCTTCAGAACTTGTTTAATGAGATTCTAATCTACATATGAAAATTTGTGACTCGAAATACTAGTTTGTATTCAACAGTGTCCTTCAAATTTGTTTGAGCATGGCAAATGTTTGAACTGCAGACACTTGCTGTTTCACACTGCACATGACGAACTGGAGAACAAAAACTGGCTCAAATTTTTCACAGGCTAATTGCCAGAAAACTGGCAATTAGTTTTATTTGAGGAAAATGAGAGAAATTTAGCATGGAGATATGACTTGACATATTGATATCATAACATAAGTTGGTTTTGAGCTATTTGCTATTGTTTTTAAGTTATCAATATTGACAGACTCTTATTGCTATCCTCAAATCGATTACATCATTAGGTGGAAGTTTGTTATGATTTTTGCATAAGCATATTTACAAGGGTCCATTCTGCACTATAAAGTTGGTGGTTTATAATTTAATGCTTAAATAAGCACAAGAATTTTTAACATCCTATAAGTATGGTATTTCTAATAATTTTTGCAAAAAAAAACGAATTATTGAATTTAACATGATGTGCAGACAAAAACGGGCCTCTTTATAGCACAGATCAATGAATCCAGATTGAATTTGCTGTGAAATGGCAAAGGGAGGACTGACAGAGACAGCAGAAAATATGAAGCCTAAAACAAAGCTGGCTTTATTTTTCATTGGAGAAGTGCGGCACTGTGCCCATACAGAGCTCCTATCTCTTTTTATTTATGATAATGCCATGCTGGTTTCTCATAAATTTTGATTATGGCACACTAGTAAAGTGCTGTTTTTTCGATTTCTACTGTGTAGTTTGTTCTAACATTTTGTCATAACATAAAAAGAAATGCAAAGATAAAAAAAAAATATCCTGACTGATTTGACCATTCGCCTTACCACATCCCCCTCTAATTATATGGAGAGCACAGGCAATAAGCTGTTGAAGTGGGAGTAATTAGTTGAAAAATAATATTTCATTAAATAGTTGTACGAGTTACATTTATGATTCATGGTACATATTGCAGCTTTGAAAGGCATTTAATAATAATGTTGAACATTTTATATGACTCAGCTTTGCCGTCTTCATTGCATGCCATCTTATCATCACAATAAGGTCAATATTATCAACAGTCTGTGTAATAAAAAACTAATAAGAAACAAGGAGAATGAGAAGAAAAAGATAAGCAAGGTCAGGCACAAGTAAAAGCTTACTAATTAGGTTAACAAAACACTAATTAGAAATCTAGGCAAAAGGAAATGAGATCTTACCTTGATGTCGATGGTTGCTGTACAATTCTCTCTTTTGGCCTGAAGGACTGGGTAGCTGGTGAAATTTCTGTACTACTCCTGTTTGTAACTGAATTGAAAATGCTGTTGATAAGTTCGTCATCATTCACCGTGATGTTCTTCTGGAAGTGTAAGTAGAATCAAACGTTAATGCGCCTAAGAACAGTGCTTGTTTCATAGTATTCATGCTTATTTCATACTGTTCTGAAACCATAATGCAGCAGCCATACTGAACACACTGGTACATTGTTCAAAAGTCTTACAAAGCCAATACAATGGCTTTTAGAATCCACATAGAATACATACTTTTCCGCCATTACAGTATCAAAAACATTTAACATTTGTACATACAGTAGACTCCCTTGAAGACGAACTCGAAGGAACCACAATTTTTTGTTTGTCTTACCAGGAGTTCGTCTTATCAGATGTGCCCCCCAAAACCAAATGCTAACAAGCCAAGTTTGCCCAAACATGTTGCTTGACAGTGAATGAAGTATACGTATAGTGGGAAGAAAAGAAACAAGAAAGCATTTAATATTAATCCCAGACATATTAAACTCGAATATATATATAGAATTATTGGCTATATCAAACAGTTAAGAAATCCCCTTGAATTTTTCATGCAAAATTATGGGACTGTTTCACCCGTATATCGAACTCTTGCTCAGCAGGGCATCCGCTATAACGAACGCTGCGCCGAAGCCCTAGAAGTGCATTTTTTTTCCGATCCAATATTGATAAATTTTTGGCCACGTCTTAACAAATTTCGATCCATGTTCGCGTGCAGGTGACGAAAAGATGGTGTTATTCCATCGCGCTGATCTGGGTCATTGTGCGGCACTTGTGAGTGCACAGGTACGTTTGATGTGTGATTGGCAGGTCTTAACGCACGGGCATAGTGTTTTTCAAAAAAGACCAATTGCCGAGGACACCAAGATCAAAATGAGAAGTGACTCAGTGATCTATATGCAATGTTTGCATTCCCTTCCTTAATTGTTTGTTGGTGCACAATGGCATGCGGGCCTGAAAAGCAAGGCCCTCAAGATGTGCAACCTCGTGACGTACTTCGTGTTTTCGGTTTTAAAACGCATGTCACAGAGACTATGCTTTTTATAGCTTTTCGCACCAAGCAACAGCTGCCAGCTATAGAGCCACAAGTGACATCGATATCACCAACTTGTTTTAGTTGCAGCCTAATCAACAGGGCCAAGAAGTTTCCCAGATGGCTGATAAGCACGCCGATGCCACCGGCGGCCTTGCTGGTCAGGGAGTCAAACTATGTGCGAGTGTTCTCGCTCATCATCTGCAGTTTCTGCGATGCGATATAATTAGCTTGGTTGTTCTGAAATTTTATTAGGTGTGCCTTTATACAGCATCTACAAGCATGTAGATATAGCTAGAGAAACGTCGTGCTGTCTTATCGACGGCGCAGTAGTGTACGACGCAGGCCACGTTGTTGAATGTGCGCAGCCGATGCTGTCAATGGAGATCGCATCACCGTCGCGGCTCTGCTCATGCAAACACGTGGACTGGCAAACCCGCCACACAACACCCCCGTGATGATCTAGTGCTGCGCAATGGTGAAGTACTGCTCTGTGCCTCAGGGTGATTCGCCTGCCCGTAAAAAGGATGTTAGCTTTTACAACTATCCTACAGAGAAGGGCACGCCTGCCCTTTTCCTTAAGATACTTTTTCTGCAGTGTAACAATAGTGACAATGAACACGAGGATATCTGTGATAATCATCGATTTCTGACACTCTGGCATTTGCAAACAACACATGATATAAATATGGCAGAGCAGCTGTTTAAATTGCTGCTTCGGCAGTCAATGAACGGTTCATGGCATCTACTTATAACGCAAAGCAGCATGAAATTCCCAAATTTGAAATAATTGTGCTTGGATTGCAGCTATAGACGTCGGCAGGGCACAAACACGTGTTGCATCACAGTAAGAAAAGTCTTGAGGGGTTGGTGCTGGTGTAACTTGGGAAGGGGGAAAGTTACGCCTTAATGCACCCTCTGGCCAGTGCAAATGCCTGCAGTTTGTCCCAATAATGTTTTTTTCAACGAGAGCGACATCATGTAGTTTATATTAATACCCTACAGGGCTGTCGCTCGGGCATCAGAATATAACAAACAGTTATCAGTGATTGTATATACAGCGTACAGGGCCCCAAAGATTATGTGACACATACCTCTGTTTTCTTCTTTGGCTGTTGTGCACTGAACATGGCTGCAATGGTGCCAGCTTTTTCCCCAGGTTTCTTAGCATTTGGAGGCCGGTAGGAATTCTTGGCAGCTGCTTTTGCTGAAAGCAGGGAGACAGAATCTCTGTAACGTTTCGCCTCTGCGCATTGCTACCTAGTGTTAGAGAAATATGGATTTCATTACTACCTTTCGTGGGAGCGTTGAAATCCGCTTCATCAACATCATCATCGAATATTTCTCTCCCATCTTCTACGTAACCAGTTCCATCTAAAACGCGTGACGAAAGCGTGATGTCACAGATGAGTTCATCTTTCAACGGTTGATGTTGCTGGTCACCTACACTTTTCATCATCATGTTTAACAATCTGTAAGCGTGTTTGAAGCATTAAATTCTTAGCAATAATTATTACTTTATTGTCAACAAGGTGCTCGCACCATGTTTCTCTTCGCTCACCTATTTTCCTTCTCAAAATGTTGGCACGGAAAACATGACAAATTATGCTTAGTGTCCATTTTTCACATGGTTTTCATGGTTATCACGTCAGCGAGGAAACGATCGACAGCCTTACAGCCCCGAACGACGTCGAAGACACTGCCGAGAGCATCACGGTGGTTAAAAAAAAAATAACTACCATCGTCAATGATCCAGTCCCTCCTCTTGACGTTCCTGTACGAGACGGGAATATTCGTTCTCGTCCACCTCATCATAAACTGAAGTTTCTTCTTTGAGCTGGAAGAAGAAACGATCACATTACCGCGATAAGAACGACCGGAAACCAGCGGGATGTTACAAAGACAGTGATACACACGAAAAATAAATAACTAAATTTATCCAGACTGAAAGATCACACCTCATATTTGCTCCGTGTTCCTTGCTTGACTTGCTTGAGTCTTTCGAGCGCGGCGAATCTGCCTGCTTTATCGGGCCTCTGGCGCTTCGCTCGGGTTTTGACCAACGAATCTGGAACGGGCGAATCGCCGTAGTTCGAGTACACACTACAAAGCAGTTGTTAATACTCACCGGAATCATCATCCATGCTCTGCGCGTATCCGATGCTATGCGCGGTGGAAGCACAGCGTGCGAGAAATTTGGCGCGAAACCAGCGTAAACAGCGTGGTAAACAGGAACCGCAATCACCCGCCAACGATGACTCAAAAGCTGACAATAGAAAACATACGCTGGTAAGTGTGTACAATAATTGCTAAGTTACAATATAAATTTTAATTTAGTGTAATAGTTTGCTTAAAGTAAAAAATAGTACGTTTTTTTTTGTAAGTACGTGACACACTACTAACGCCAAACAAAGTATCTTTAGCAACGAAAGAACAATTCTAGCCAAAGAAGCGCAAAAAAGTGGTCACGTGACAATTTTGTTTAGAACGTCGGCGACGACTACTTCTGCTGCAGAATTTTTTTCTCGAGCGTGAAATTAATCGCGCGTTTGTCCATCGGCGCTCTACGCATGTGGTTCGCGTAGCCGATTTCGTAAGTTTCATCGCATTCTCTTTCGGGCTTACTGCCTGTCTCTCGTTTAATCGCCGACGTCGTTATTGCACGACTATTGCGGTGTTTCAGCTGGCTTCCCGCAATCAACAGAAACTTAATTGCCTAGCTTAGGTGCTTGTGCGTACTAGCGGCGCACTCGGAGCTGCGATACGCTTCAACTTCTTTCCTTACCGGCACTGATGTTGACCTTGGTTGAAGGGGTACTTTTTTTTTCCTCGCCAGTCACCGGCTCAAAACAAGGACGAGGTCAGCGAGGTTGTGAATGAATGAGGTTTCCCTGGAGCTCGAATTGGTTTCCAGCCTGACAACGAGTGCGAGAGTTGAGATCGGTTTCGTTTCTAGTTTCAGTGTAGTGCAGTGACCAAGACCTCTTACGGACGTCGTGGCAGCAGGTGAACTTTCTAAGGGCGTGTTCCTCAGCTTCGTATATATTTTTGCGTCGCGCGTTTAGTAGAAGGCACAGTTGCCGCATTTGGCAGCTGTGGCCGAGAAACATATGTCTCTGTCGGAACGGTCGAGTCACTTATTAGGCATTCCTTGATTTGGTACGGTGTTTACTGTGCCTGCGTGGACAATTGCGCAATCGCGCGGTCAGACACGTCGCCTTCTGACGAGGCCGCCAACTCGACGACCTATGGGGGAAGGGAAAGTGCCTCGTTTATGCTAAACCGATTGAAGGTGTTGGCAAGCGCGCGCAAGCTGCACCTTCTACGCGTCTCGTCGACGGAGTGACGCACGCGGCTCGTTCGAGTGTCTGGGCCTCGCCGCTGCCAAATCGAGTTTCTCCCTTCGGCTGTTGAACTTTGCTCGCCGTGTCTCGTAGGCGGGTGAAGAGCTGATTGTCCGCCGAGGCAGACTGACAGCCGAGGTTGCCTTGACATGCCCCTTAGCGAAGAGGTGGGATAGCTTTCCTTTCCTTTATCTGAGCCTTCAAATTGAGCTTGAGACACGCAACTTCCGTGGAGATAAGATTAACTTTGAAAGGTTCTTGGGAGCTTCTCCAGGGGGCTCTTCTCTGCCTAGTTTGCCTGATCGTAACTGGAGAACACGTGGTGAGACGTCTATGCTTAGCTCTCATCTCAAAGCACGACTCTCTCTACTGATGCCCAACGCGAATTCATTTTTGAAGTGTTATCTGACATGTAATGATATAGAAGTGCCTGATGTAGTGGTAAACAAAAACCTTCTCTACTGTGCACCTCTTTCTTCAGAAAAAAAAAAAGTGACTGTGCTTTTCAATGTTCATTTCAGGCTTGAGGAAGCCTGTCCATACAAACATGTCTGTATCCCAAAGGAAAAGGACACGTGTGGACAATGCTGTCATGCAAGACGGACCTGCCACAAAACGCATGGTCAGTTCACTTGTCTTACTCGTTCTTTTGTATAGTGTTTGCTGTATTGTCTTAGAGTTTTGCTGATTGCATGTGCTCAATGGATGTAAGTCAACCAGGGTGTGCCGATGTTTGGCCGTCATCCTGCAAGTAGCCTTCTAATCACTACTGAAATGGCACTGACCTCATGTTTGTGTGCACCTTTGTGAAAGAAAGTGTGTTGTGGTGAGATAGAACGTACGATAATGGCACGGCATACAAGCGTCCTGCTACTTCGGGGGCCTTGTCGGACACGATGTAGGTTATCACGCCGCTGGTAGGTGCGCTCGTGGCGTGATCTGTGGATTGCATGTGCAGTCTCTCTTCACTACTATCTGGCAAATGCTCAGCTCACGCATTGTCTAGCCATCATGAGTCAGATCGAAATAAGGGAGGTCTCTCGGCTCCTCCATATCTGCAGGCTTTGTACGACATTATGCGCCAGGTAATGACTTGTTTTGGGTGAATAACTTGTTTCCTTTTTCTCGTGCATATATTATGGTTGGGCGTTCATGACTAATGCTTCTATGCTCAGTGGATGGAGCAGCTGTCGATTGCATTTTCATTTCGCTATCGTTGACCTCTGCTGATGTGTTGCAAACTTTTCTGTGTGACAGAGTCTGTGATAGAAGACGTGTGATCATGACTCGTGCAGTAAGTAGCAGCTGCATAAAGCAATCGCTCAGGTTGCCTCTAGCCGTCACATCCGTACTTGGTACGCAGTCAGTTGACTGTGTAAATGTATTGTGTTCTTCACGATGAGCATGATCTTCTTAAACTCGTGGCAGTTGGTATTAATTTGTCACGGGACATTCCTTTATTTCTACGTGTAAAATGTAGCGAGCTTTTAACATGTATATTTATGGTGAAACGTATATTATGCAAGTTCAGTCACTGTTCATTGGTTTTTTTTCTTTAAAGCTCAATAACACTGATTCACGTTTGTTCTGCGTACTTCTCCACAAAGAGAGACCAATGCAAGTAGACATTATGCTTCTAAAATGATGAAATATAGTCTTTTCATTTGTTTTTTAATTTTGATCATTGCATTGGAGCAATTTACAGCCAGTGAGTGCATGTTGAGTTTATAAAACTGGAAGCTCCCTAGAGGGTTGTCAGAATTATGTGAAGTTGGGTAAATTGTAGTTGTAGCTAAAATAGAAATGCAGTTGGGCTGGACGGATTGCCTGCTAAGATAACGATTGGTTTGCCCATTAGCATACATAGCAGCCTGAGCATGTTTGCATGTTATTAATATTGCTTTGTCTGCCATCATTGACTACTTTTGAAAACTCTAAATTCACCCATGTACGGCAAACCTTATTTCGTAACTTAAGCCTTTGAGTGTTTTTGCCGTGCATGTACGGCAGCGGCTTTCCATCCCACTGTGTCTGTGTCATATGGGTGCGTTTTTGACCCGCCACTTAAAATATAGCACCTTAATGAAGGATGCGTGCTTACAGCAAGGTGCTGCCACCTCCTAGGGCTTACAAGAAGCATGGCATCACATGATTGGCAATGACGCCAATGGGCAACACCCATTTGTGTTTTCATTTTTGACACATGATCAAAACGGAGGCATGCAAAACTTGATTTTTATCTTTATAAGCACTTCTTTGAAGGAGGGGCAGAAGTTGATTTCCATCTTTATTCAGGGTTTTCTCGGCTTGCTTATGCGAACACTCGTGAAGTATTTTCGTTCTCAATATTCACTTAGTTTTCTTTGCCCAAGGCTGCTCCACACAGAGAAGATTCTGTGCGCGTGTGCCAACAAAACTCGGAAAAAACATACATGTGTCTTATGCGTGCAGACCCATGTTTCAAGGAATACCATGCTCATAAGTACCATAGAACATTATGCAGTTATGAGTGGTATTGACCCAAAACATTGTTCTTGAATATCTTATATTTTTTTTTAACATTGCACTTTCTATACATTCAAAAACTACAATTATTTGACCGTCCAGGAAAGTCATTTGAGAAAAATTCTTTACTCAAAGGGTTAAAGTGATTTGCATTCATGAGAGAAAGGTTGTTCTGAAAAACATACACACAATAAAAGTTCTTTATTTCAGACTCGAATGGGACGACTCAAATTAAATTGAGTTCATATTAAGGGTGGGCACTAGAATAAACAGACATGGCACCACTATGCGCGAGCAGAATGAAAAGAAGCCCCACCTGTAGACCTGTTATGGCGAAGGAGGTGTCACTGCTCATTATGTCCCGGTGATTTTGTAAAATAAGTTCATGGAGCTCTTACAGAGAGCAAAACTAATTGATAAACCATTGAAACACCAGAAACAAGCACTGAAAGACATTTACGTGAGCACTGAGCCTTAATGTGAAAATATGTATGGGGCTATTTATGTTCCAAAACACATTTATTTACATAGCAAAGTTGATGCGAATAAAAGTAAGAGTAATCGGGTAATTTGTTTGCATTTTTTCTGTCATTATCCACGAGCATCGTTGCAGCTCCCCGCAGAGTTAGAGCACAGCGTTCGAATTCTTATCTGTCGAGAAATACTACCGTGTTATTGTCTCGCACTGCTAGTAAATTTGGTTTGGCTTGGTTTCGCAAATCATGGTGATCACTCTACACCGACTGCTCCAAGGAACGATGGAAACCAAGGGCTTCCAGGTCGTATGAATTGTTGTGATTACTGACGCGTTCGAATTATCCGGAGTTTTTCTTCGTAGAAATAACACTGGGCTGTGCCGAGACTAGTGTGTAAGTTCAAGTTAACTGAGTTTGAATTAATGAGCTTCTATTGTACCTGCTTCTTATGCAGGGAAACTGGTCTTGCCTGTATTCTTTGAGCAAAGGGTGGCTGTAGACACAAAGCTGCCCAAATATTCACCGTAGGTGTTGTAGAATAAGCAAAAATACTTTCTGTGAAAAAATCTGGAAACTGTTTTGCGGGTTGACTGCATTCAGTAGGTACTGATTTAGTTTTGATGCCGCAGTTTGAACTGGCACTTTGCGACTATGTACTAAAGGACTGTACTGAAACAAATTTTCCATATGGTCATGCATATTTTCAAGGTTTGCTGTACACTGCAAACTCGTGGATGTGGCATATCAAGTTGTATACATTCATGTTTTGTGGTTCAACGTTTCGAGCACGTGTTGAAATGCCAAGCTGGTGAAGCAGTCTGCCTATTCGAATACGTTTGTGCACTGAAGTGCCTGATAAGTTTACTTCAAAACCTAACCAGCAGGACTAGACTTGAGTGCTTTTTCGTTTTTCTTTTCCCATGCAGACGCTCTGTGCACCAGCCCCATTCAGCGATGAGCCCGCGGCTGTGGCAGAGCGAGAGAAGTGCGACTACAGCATCAAGATCACAAAGGAAATGGCAGCATCAGGGCAAGGTATGCTCGTTTGTGGGCCTCAAGTATCCCTCTTTCTCGGTGATCTTGTTTTTTCTTATGAGCGCGCTTTTCTGACCTGATTTTTCAATCTTGAGTTATGTAATCGAGACATTTAATCAGCACAATTAATAATTGATTCATCTCAATCTACTTTCGTCCCACAAGGTCGCAGTTTCAATTCTCAGGATGCTGTGTTGCCTCGTGTGCAAGACGGCAATGTATGAAAAATCGGGGCGTGTATGTAATGTTTGCCGGAGTACTTGGTAAATCAAGTTCTTTCGAGATCCTTCACTATAAAACTTTCCTGTGATGTCATTTTGCTGGCACAGGTGTTTACGCTTACCAATCAATTTTGTTTTCAGAACACCTGCTTGAGTAATGCAGTGGCTATGATCTAGCACTCTGACAAAGGTCGGGCCCATCGCTAAAACGTAAAATAAGGAAAATGCTTTTTTTCTTTTGGGTCAACTGCTTGTTTTGTTCAGGAATCATTTTAGAAGTTCTGTTGAAACACTTACCTCTGTGATGTGATCGTTCTTCCCTGCGAGATTGAAAGTGGTACAGCTGGACCATTGTTAAAGAACATGTGTGAGAATTTTAGTGGTTACGAATTGGCATGTTGGTCATTTACTCATCAGGTGCAAACATTATCTGCTACATTTTACTGTATGTTTGTTTGTCACTAAATTCTGGGTCGTACACATCTATGTGAAGCAAAAAGAAAATTTGGGGGAAGTTATTTGTAGTTATACTCAAGGCATAGAAATTATAGTATACAGGACAAATGAAAGAGAATGAAAAACAACTTGCTGCTAATTTGAACCTAGCTCACAACATCCAAGGTATGTTGTGCCACTGCACATCTGCCAGTTGTGCTATGGCAATGATTGCTCCCTGCAGCCCAGTGCTAAAATATTTGTGTATTTATATGTGACTTGTGAAAACATTCGAAGACTGACAACCACGTTTTATGGTAACTGTTTTATTTAGTGAAATGGAAAGTTTACTAGTCTGACTGCCTAATCATGGAATGGGCAGGTGAACTATTATGTGAAAGTCCTTATCAAAATTTCGCAATGTGCAGTGCCGATCAAGTCATGCATGCAACACATAGACAAACAAGTGTAGGTGGCTGCAATGGTGATTTCACGCTGGTAAATTAGTGAAGCCCTGGTAATCAAACATGTGTTGCTGCTGTTGAGGTTACGGTTCATGCTGATGTTGTCGCACCGTTTCAATGCAAGTGGCTGTTGAATGTCCTGTGAATGTTAAAATTGCATGCACTTTCTTGCTTTCACAGCACCTCGGCCAATTAGGGTGTACGCTGATGGCATTTATGACTTGTTCCACCAAGGCCATGCAAGGCAGCTAATGCAAGCGAAGTCTGCCTTCCCGGATGTCTATCTCATTGTAGGGGGTGAGTAGCACGTCTCGCATAATCTTGCATTTGCCTGCAATTGCTGGAAAACGTGGCTGAGAAACCCATTGTGAGTTGGTTGTTTGTAACATTTAGCTAGATGACAGTTGTTCTGGAATACTCAATTCAGGATGAATAACTCTGCTTTATGGTAATTTTTGACGTGCTATTAGCAAGTGCAAAAGTTTCCCTATTTAAGAGGAAGGCTTGGAGTTCAGGATGTTGCTTGCGAAATGGTGCTGCTGGAAGTATACTAAACATGCCAGTCTAATAGCGATACATTCAACTTGGCTTCATGGATGACTGCGGATAATTTCCTCTGTAACGTGTCCACTTTTTCAAAGCCTTCAAAAAAGAGAGCGGCTCTTACATTAGTCCATATGGTACAGTAAAACCATTCATTCTAACTCGGTTATTTCAAAATCCCACATAATTTGAAATATTACCGCAGTCCTGTATTTGCAATGTAAGTCTGAGTGGATAATTTGACGTGGCTGTCAGCACCATTAACTTTGGATGCCGTGTGAGAATTCCCGATCCCGAATTCGCCGTAAATCCGCGGGAATGATGGCCCTTAACAGCCATAAGGCAATGTAACATAGCAATACTAATAAGTGGCAGCTGAAGCACCCCAGCCCCACTATATCCAATGCAAAAAAAAGGAGAGAGAGAGAAAAAAAAACAGTCTTGTGGCCAACCGAAATGTGCGGCTGCAGAAAACAAGACGTGCTTTTCTGAAACACACTAGTAATGGGCAGGCACCATATTGCATCTTTTTATCTATGTCAGCATGTTATCATATACCTATTCTTTTTGGGATTGTAAAGGAATTTAGTAAAGAACAGTTTGGCCAAATTCGCAATGTATGTGAACCTCCGATTGCCAGTTGCTCCAGATTTTTGCACATTTATACTGTTGGTGGAGTTCTTGCCTGCAACGCCTACTTCGAAAACTAAGTTCCAAAGCTTCAATGATCATGTTTTCCAGCCAAAACATTGCGAATTTCGTCACAGTGGCCATTGTTCAATAATTTATTTTACCAGAAGGAATGGCCGCATTATGACGTGCTGACTCAGCGAGGAGCAGGCGACAGGCTGCCCACTTGTTACTACTGTGCTGCAGTGAAGCACATCTTGTTTCGCGCATTTCAGTTGATTATGACAGCGTTTTCTCTTTTTTTTTTCGGTAACAGGGATAAGTCACCGTTACTCTGTGTTTGCGGCGAAATTAAGACCAAGTATTGCGGGAAAGCACAACCCTCGGAGCCGCAAACTAGCAGACGCAGCAAACGATCAGTCTTGATTACCTTCAATAATTTAAAGTTCATTGCAACCCACTTTTTGTATGTTCTGTTAATTTGAGAATCTGCTTAATTAGAAAATTTCTCGCCACCTCAGTGACTTCAAATTGAAAAGGTTTTACTGTATTTGCACAAAAATGATGAAGATTGCTTGTGTTCATCCAGCATCGGAAACTATCACCATGATTAGTGTTCCTGCACCAACACAGTTATTCATAACGGCTGACAGCTGTGTGAAAGCTGTAGCAGTTGTATAACAATACAGTGGGGTACCAAAACCTACACGGTTGTTACTGCTATCTTTTTTTTTAAACCTAAATATGGATTTCTATTGAAGGCACTTACAATCCTCACCGTTAAGCCCTAGCATATAAGCAGTTATCAGATGCCTATTGTCAAGTCACTCTCAAGGCATTTCTGTCAGGGTCAGTATCATCTCTGTTATCGCTTGAACTTGGCAAAATACTTTTTCACTTAGGATGGTAATAGTTACGTGCTGCTTTCAGGGTTAGGGTTATGAAAGCCAATTTAAAAAGTATTTCATGCACTTAGCTTGTGGCTGCAGAGTAGCGTAAATTGTTTCCATTACTCCAGAAACTTGCATCTATTGAAAGATATGTATGATGCTTTTGTCATTGCACTGTAATTGTAGTATACAGTAAAATCTCGGTATAACGAACTTCAGGGGACTGCGGCAATTCGTTTGTTATATTGAAAGGTCGTTATAGTGAAAGCCCAAAATTTAACCATAAATACTTTTCTACCGACCAAAACGACTTACCTTTACAACTGTGGTTCCTTGAACTCATTTTTCATGATAAAAAACAAATGCGTCAGTGAACACCAAAAAATGCACGTTTTTTTAAAGAAGTCTTTTATTTATTTTTTGACACGTGCAGCACAAACTTTACAACGCGAAGGCCTCCAGCTTATCCACATTCTCCACTTTCTCCTTAGCGAAAACTGCTTCCGCTTCGTCGCAAGCACAGATGAACTTATTGTAGTAGCACCGCAGCGCGAACGCCGACTTGCTTTGCAAACGTGATAAGTAATCACCGAAAAGGTGAAGACGACTGACAAGGCCTCCTCAGAGAACACCTATACCCCTTTGGCTTCCTAGATCAGATGTAGAAGTGACAAAGATGAGACAAATTCAAAGTGTTGCGGTTGTCACCGCATCTGCCGAAGAAAACAAAGCTAAAGAAGAAAATTCCTCGCATTTAGTTTTCTGCTCCCTCGCTGTCTCAGGTTTTTCGTACCCACGGTTCCTGCTCTGCAACTCCCACACTGCCCTCTGCCTCGCTGACCTTGCCCTCCTGTGTTGCCCTCGCCTCTACGCTTGTAAACCGTTTTAATAAAAAGAAAGAAAAGAAAGTCGTCCTTTTGTGTTTGCCCTCCCCCCCTCCACACAGTCGCGCTTCTTCTGAGAAGCAAGGCGTTGGTTCACTGTGTCCTCTACTTGGGTACCGCTGTGGTGGTCGCGACGGATATCAGAGCATGAGTTCAAAGTACTGGGGCAATAATAATATAATGTGGAACTAAATTAGCACTCGTTATACTGAAGAGTTCGTAGTAGTGAAATAATTTTACATTGAAACTTTTAGCAGTCTGCACGGGATTTTTTAAAAGAATGTTAATCTGAAATGTTCGTTAAAGTGGTATTCGTTCTACCGAGATTTTACTGTAGTTTCAGCAAGACCGAACATCGTATGCTGTTAGTCTCATTTGAGGATGGGTTTTTGGAGTCTTTAGACAGGGACAAAGCTCTTTGTGAGGTTCACAATGAACAGTAATTGTAAATAACTTGTAAAATATGTAATTTCCACCTTACTTCCAATTGTCAGAATTCGATGCTTGCTACCTGTCCAATGTACATTTTGATACAGAACAACCATAGTATATGCATTATCTGCATAATGTTTATTTAGATTTTTGTTTCACTAAATTGATAGCAAATTTTATAGGAGGTTTTGGTTTACTTAACTAAGTATACTACCAATTGTCCCTGTGTGTGTGGAAAAGTTCCTCTTCTATATTTTTTTTTATTTCATTTACTAGGTTCTCCTGTTAGTTTCATCGATCTTGCGAAGGTTATATTAATAAATTTTCAAAACTTTCAGTAGTCATCCAAATGGGTAACTTTAAGGCACTTGGCTGAACATTAAGGAAACATTTTTTTTGTAAGAGAAGATATTTTAGTCTTGGATTAAGGCATAATTGTGCTTTCAAGTCGAGTATTTCATGGTTCAGCCATGTTTGCTACAAGGGGGTGCACAGAGGGTGTCACGTGACCACTCATTGCAGCCTTTTCGTGTGACAGTTGTTTTTGATTCCCCATTTTCACCAGACTTCGATGGCGCTTTAGTGGTACTGACAACCTTCATATTGTGGTCGCCAGTTGATATTGAACAACTTTCTGAGATTAACTCCTTGTTGGCACCCACGTGTGGCAAATCCTGCAGAGTGTTTTTTGTACTTAGTGTACGCGCTCGCTTTCACCCTCGCAGTGAACAGTGATCAGCTCACTCATACAATGAAAGGAAGAACTGTGATGACGGATGGTGAGCGGTACGAGGCAGTTCGCCACTGTCGATACGTCGACGAAGTTCTAAGGGACGCACCGTGGGTGATAGACGAGGATTTTCTTCAAAAGAACAAGGTATGTGTGCGGTGGTTATTTTGGAAATAAGGGCTGACGTTGGACAGGACAGCATGGGTGTCACATCATTTGTGCATCACTTTCCTGTAAAACATTAGTATATAGCCATCCGGATGACTAATACCAGCGTCTTTTTCCTGAGTTGCTACAGGCTTTTTGTTGTAAATTTTTTCCTCTGGAGTTTCAGTGCTTGCTAAAGATTACTCTTTGCAGTGAAGAAACTTCATTTGTTAAACTGACGAGCACTTTTTTGAGCTTTCCTCTTACTTTCTTCAGAATCCTCGTGGGGACTTTAAGGTTCTTAGTATATATTGAAAATGGTGGCCAGAGTAATAATGTATTGATACCATATTTACTCGATTCTATCGCGCCCTCGATTGTAACGTGCACCCGATTTCCACCACGAAAAAAAAAAAACGTAAGACATCGATTGCAACGCGCACCCATTTTTCTCGCTGGCTCGCACGATCACACCACTCGAAAAAACAACTCCTTTTGGGAGCGTCTTCCATTTAAATATGAGCTACGGGCGAAGCTTGTGCCCATCTGACGTGTAACAGAGCATTGCCGCCACTGTAGTTTTACCGTGGACCGATGTCGGCACGCGAACTTGCTTCGCCCCCTTCTTCTCGACGGTTGTGGTGCCAGGCATGTCGAAGTAAAGAGGCGTCTGATCGGCATTCCCGATTTGCCCAAGCAGGTAGCCGTTGTTGCGCCGCAAGTTTAGGACAAACCTCTGAAAACTGCGAAGCTTTTCATCGTACTCCTCCGCAAAACTTTTCGCATAGGCATGTTCCCCTTCGGAGGGAAAAGCCTTTCCTCTTCATAAAGCTAGTTAGCCAGCACCTGCTCGCTTTAAACTGGCTCCGCATTAGACCTTTTTCTAAGACTAATTGCATAGCCCGCACTTCGTGCAGTTCTGTCGTCATCGGCCGCTGTGCCGCTCACTGCTCAAGCACATACTCGCCGAGCAGCTCTTTAATTTGTGGAAACCGACCCTGCTGTAGTCCACTGAAGCCTTTGCGTGAAGCTTTGCTGTCGACAATCTTCTGCTTTTGTTTCCGCCGGTCCCGCACGCACGTTTCGGGATCTCCGAACGACCGCGATGCGGCCCGATTTCCGTCTGTTTCTGCACACGCGACGACTTTTCTTTTAAAAGCGGCATCGTAGTGCACTCGAGTTTTGGACTCGGCCCTTCCACGCCGTCGATGCTAATGCACTACTAGATGACGAACTCCTCAGCACACGTACGAAGTGCCGCACATGGGAAACACATAGGCAGAAATGGCCGACGCGCCATGCCGACGCACGTAGGGGGCGGCCATTTTGGATTTGCCGATGGCAATAGATTGACCGTAATTTTTTTGTTCGTACTCGATTCTAATGCGCATGCGATTTGTGAACTCGCTTAACCGGAAAAAAGGTGCGCATTAGATTCGAGTAATTACGGTAATTAGGAAGTCACAGGGGCATTAGAAAGAGGATTGCCAAGACAGGCGTTTCATCTTTTCTTGTCGGTGGTGATTACATCTGTTATGCCAAATAATCGCTAAACATAGTGACAAAGGTGTTTATTGGAGAACGTCTTTGTTGGGCTTGTAGGTCTACTGCCTTCTCAAAGTATAGAGTTTATGACCACTATAAGTGCTTGAGGTGCAAGCTTTGTTTTGATGACGAACACCCCAACCTGCGATGCATCGCCTGCTTGTCACTTTGGCACTATTTAGCTCTGCAGTACGGAGAATATACAAGCTCAGTCTCTCGATTGCTCGTTTGCTTGCTTGCATGTCACGGGATTGAGGCCCGTGTGCTTAGATTTAGGTGCACGTTAAGGAACCCCAAGTGGTAAAAATTTTCTGAACCCTACACTAAGGCATCTCTCGTCATCACCATTGGTTGTGGGACTATAAACCGCAGATATTATCATATTATGTCTCAATTGCAGCAGGGATCACTTTTGATGCTCATTGGTGCGAGCTTTTTATGCACTACATCGCTGCACAGCATCTAGATTGCACTGCCATCTTTGTTTAGATAATGAAGAGAGTCACCAAATGGGATATATGTGATGGGGTCTCCTCAAGTGGAGACCACACGTACACTTGCTGGTTTTTGGAAGAAAGGCCACGTCTTCATGTTTTCTTGCTTAGCCGTGCCTCTTTGAAAATGGTAACTTACGAGACGTGCTGGTGTTTGCTCGCCATAGGTTGTGCAGAAATTACCGTGGCTAGCATTACAATGCATTGAGCTATCTGTAGCACGTGCGTAGGTGTGGCGGTGGCAGCTTGTCCGTGCTGACAAGCATTAATGTAGTTTTACCTGAATGGCTAGAAGAATGGGTTGCTGTGTTTGAGGATAAAGGCACGACGCCTCAGCGGGACACCCAGGTCAAATTTTATTTGAAGTGTGACCTGTTGAGCAATACAGCGGCAGAAACGATCCTTGGGAAGACCCAGAGGAGCTTTCAAAGGACGCTTCACCTGAAGGTTTTCTGTAATCTTCAAAGAGACTTTTTAAATTCTGGAGCATTCCTGCTATGATCTCAGTTGTAAAACAATTCATTGGGGGTGGAAGAAAAGTTGCAAAAATTACTGTTCAAATAGCTTCCCATTGTACTACTGTGACCTCAATATATAATTCATTCTGGAGGCAAGATTGCAGTGTTATTGCATTTATGTTTTAACTTTTAGGGTTCAACTTTAAAAATAATTGCCTTCCAAGATTTCTTAGGGATTATTCCTAACTTGTATAGTGTTTGTGGATGATATGGTTTTATCATAAATTTTTATGACTATGATTATTACAGTCGTATATACTTACAATTGTGGAACTTTTCAATCCAAATGTGGCTTTGTGCTGCAGTATGCACTCAGGGGAAGAAATCATGTAAAAATTAAGGAAATATAGTTCGGTATATTTATCTGGAATTTAATCACTTACACTGCATGTAGTGCCAGATTCATTATCTTTGTTTACTATCCTGATTAATACTGAGAATATTTTAAGTGTAAAGGTGTATGTGCTTTTTCCTGGTGTCAATATCTGTCCGAAAGGCTACACGAATTTTCCACCACTGCTATGATAGCAGTACGATGCAAGAAGTACATACTGGCCAGTAAAATTAAACTGCAATCACAGGAAAAATAAAGGAACTACTACACAGCAAAACTTTAATTTCAGTAGACAGATATGTACAAATGTCTTAAGTGCAATACTCTGCTCTGAGCATGCACTGGTGCGCATTCATTGTAGAATACAAAAAGGGATACCTATCATTTCACTGGTGTTCCTGTTGGTGCTTCCTCTTAAATGGCCAGTAAACAGGCTCCGCCTTTTTTTTCACACCCCCTCATACAAGCTCGGCAATTCGTAGATTAGACCGCAGCGATCACATTTTCTGAATATTTATTACAGTGCTGCGCACTGCCCTGAGCCTCTATTTCAAAAAACAATTCCCGCGCATCTTTTCTATGCGTGACTGACCCCCTTGCTTGCGCAGTGACGTCGACTCAGCGATCGGTGACCTGACGTAGCACGCAGCTCACCAAAGCAGCTCGCCGATTGGTCTAAATAAGGTGTGAAAAAACAGTAGTGAAGTCAACGTCAGTTCCTGTTCCCACCCACAGCTACGAAACTGCCCCTTGTTTCTTGGCACTGTGGTGAAAGAACCAGCCTCGCAGTTGTGGCGTGCACGTGTACACTCCATGCTCAACTACAGCGCCTGTGCGCACATACGAACATACTTCGCCCTTGACATGAGCAACACAGGTAAAAAGCGTTGCTCTGTCATCGGCTGCAAATCGAATGACTGGGCAGCAGAAAAGCATCGGCACCGGGTGCCTCACTATGGGGCCCTGCGTGGCTGAAGTGAATCGGCCATCCAGCAACATATGTTGGGGACTTGATCGTTTGTGGTCGACACTTTGCACCTGAAACTTACACGCACACGGTTGACCCGCGGCTAGTGCGGCAAACTGTAAACAAACAATCACGCTTTGCAGCGAGTGGAAGTGCGTTGCGACTGATCGAGTTCGCCGATGACGTAAACCACTGACGTGGTGTCAGGTTGGCAAAGTGGGCGGAGTCACGACAATGGGCTACACCTTCCCCTTCATGGAAGGGGGGGCGAGGCTGTGCGAAAATTTGAAACCAGCTTAGACCGATGTTCTAACCCATGTAACTTCCTTATAGCATGTATTCGCAAAATTCTTGCGGCAGCATGTTCGCAAAGAAAAACTGCACATATATGTTTTTTAAAAAAATTTTGGGCCTCAGAGCTGTTTACTGGCCCTTTTAACAGTTTGTGTTTTCTTGTTTTCTTTATTTTTTCCAGATTGATTTTGTTGCACACGATGAGATACCCTACTGTATGGGCAATGAAGAAGATGTGTACAAGCTTATCAAGGAAAAGGGCATGTTTCTCGCCACTCAAAGGACAGATGGAATCTCCACGTCAGATCTAGTTGCAAGGATTGTCAAAGACTACGACGTGTACGTCAGGCGAAACCTCGCCAGGGGTTACTCTGCTAGGGACATGAATGTCTCCTTTTTAAATGTAAGCCCTGCATTTTTGTCATCCTTGTAGGTCTGTGCACGAATTGAGTATCATGTGCTTGCCAACACAGGAACAGTATGTCAATCCCTGTATGACTGCTGTTGCCAAATAAAGTACAATGGATAGTACAATTGCTAAGGTCTCATGATCTTTGGCTACAAGAAACATACCTAGGTTGTGTGCATGTACAATATCAATATGACTGAAAGTGGGACGATGGAGATATTTTGGCGTATTTTATGTGCAAACCTAAATAGACTAGTTCAGTTTTTCGTGCAGATGTGAAATATGCAACACTTTTTTATGAAGCTCAGCTAGTACACGAGTTACGCAAGGCTATCTCCTCTCTTGTTTTTTAGAGACTGCAGGAGGAACTATTTTCTGCAGAAAAGGACACTGAAGCACTTCTTTTAAAAAAAACAAGGTTATGGTGTCACGATATGTATTTCGTGCAGCAAACTTGAAAATCAAGCCTAAAATTTGCATAAACCAACACAAATATATCTTTATTTTGCCGAAAACAAGCAACAGGCACTGCGGCTGTCATGCCCAGTCTCGCCACTGCTGTGATTGGTCGAAGCTCTATGACATCATTGTCAGGAAGGTGAGGACAGCTGACTATGCTCGCCAGCAGGCAATGCCGGGTTCATCTCTTGAAATTGGGTCATTGTTGTTAGTACGGAAAACTGTGGGAGTTCGCTGTACATCTGTACAACCTGCGATACAGTAGTGGTGCAGGCTCTTCTCTTCTCACAATATGTACATCTGTACACGTTCGAGTCGGTCGCCAGTGTTAGAGCGATGATTGAAGGCTATATCAGTGCCGATAATGTGGCACAAGAAAGGGAGTCCCAACCAGCCACCTTCACCCGCGTCGGAAACATAGATTGGTACTTATAAGATGTATGTCTTATAACTGATACGAATGATACGTTCAACCGTAGATAATAAATCCGATAAGGAACAGCAGCATCAGCACTCGCTTTTAGCCCCGCATTGGCGCAGTGCGTGCTACACGTGAGCATCATGCAGAAAGATCAGCTGTTCGTGTATTTCACTGCTCAGAGGGCAGCATTTTTGATGCAGTCTGTATTGCCCTTTGCAGCGAACAAGAAGGATTCAATGAGTCAGTGTCCCACATGCAATCATCGAAATCGAGAAAGCCTTTATTTAGATTAAGCACTGCTACACGGACAGCTTGGACTATGATTATGCTTCAGGTGGTGGCTTTTGGCAGTGAGTGAATGTTACGGTAGTGATTAAATAATGTCTGGCTCATCATATGAGTGCTTGTTGAATCAATGCATCGATCATTTTGGATTTTGATGGAAAAATATTACCCATGCCGGAATCAAAATAAAGTGCCAGTGTTACAGGGTCTCTTTTATTGGTGATCAAGACTGGCTCTGATGAATATTCTTTAGAGGTGCAATCACGAGCCGTCGCAGCAACAAGGAGATCGTGGCCAACTAGGATTCGGATCCAGAAAAACTACGATGATTGGTGTTTGCGTAATGGCTCGCGAACCATGCCTTCCATAAAGATTCGAAGTGGGCGTCACAGAAGAAAGGCAGCACAGTGAGCTGGTCATGGCTGCCATAGACGCATGCTCAACAACTACCTACATGCTGCTATGGCACATAAGTAGTCTTTACAGCCTTGCCTCAGTTTTTATTTTCACCTGATCAGTTGTGGAAACACAGAAGGAACTGCGTCGCTGTTCAATCGCACCCACTTGATACCAGTGACTTTCTCGCGAAGCCTTTTTTTTTAGCTGCAGCGGTCCATTTTGCAGCCATCTTCTGATCCTGAAAAAAGTTGTGCTTATCGCGACCGAAAGTGCTGCGGTAGCAATATGCCGTGCAGTGATTCGGCATTCAAGTCCATTTCGACCACGCACAAACATGTCGGATGGTGAAAGTCTCTAATCAGAAGAAGAGAATGGTGCAATGGCAAGAAATTCCAATGAACTGGCTGTACTTATGCTTTGCTAGGCAGCAGACCACGCCAGAAAGAGAAGACACAATGCCGAAGTGAGCAAGCTGAACTGACTGAGCGACGCAGGCAGCCGGTAGCTCGCTTCTTCGATGACGTCGCCTGCCCACCTGTCTATTTCTCCCATGCCCCGCCCCTGCACTCCGCGCACGTTAGGGGAGCGCTCTCTTGGTAAAAGTTTGCTCGCTTATAGCACGTTTGTTTAATGGAAAATCGCAAAAAAAATCATCATCGGCATCTTGTAAGAGGTCGCATACGGAACTTACAATAAATTAGCAAATGCAAGACTGTTTCAGTGTCCCTTTGAAAGTTTATATTATGAGATAGCTGGATACTATAATATGCCATAAGTGCAATGTAATGCTGCAAACAGATTTCTGATCATACTTTAACTATATATTGTGGAACGGATCAAAATTAAATGTACAAAGGCTCACCCAAAAGTAAGCAGAATAGCACTGTGCTGGGTGTAGCGAGTGCGGTATGCATTCTCATCTAGGCGAGTGTCACGCTGCTCCTTTCAAGTGAATTGTACCTGGTGGCTTCTCTGAGGATGTTTTTCTTTGAGTAAAGCAATTTCTTTTGCGATTTGCATGCTAATCGCTTTTTTTATAGTGTTAGATCAAAGCGAACAGCAGATGGTTGTGAATTTTTGTTTTAGTCTCCAGTAGGGCTGTGGGAAAATACAAAAACTTGAAATAACGAGCTGGAAAGTGTTCTATTTGATTGGTGCTAGAATTAGTGTGTACATGAAATACAGAGTATTTTAAATATTTTTTATATGATAAACATCTGAAAATGCTCGTGTAAGCAAGACGTTGGAACAGTGAGGGGTAACTTATCGTGTTTTCATCAGCGAATTGCCCAGGTGCATAGAGCCCACGTATTAATGCTAGCGGTACGACCAATGCAATATTGATCAAACAATAAGTAGCTCAAGGAAGTATCATCAATTCACGATATGACATGACATGATCTGACATCTAGGCATTACCATGACATTCGTGACCCATGAAATATGCTCAGTATATTTATTTAGCAGGTTTCATAGAAGTTGCTGACCAACAGCAACGCGTGTTGTCAACAAAGAGGCTGTTGACAGAGTGCCTCATTGAATGCTGTATTCACTGCCGTATTTCACGCTGTAGTTATAGAATATTTTCGAAGGCTCTGTTTGCTGTAGTATAAGAGCTTCCTTCAGTGTAAATAATAGGGGCATTTTTTTTTGTTCTTAGTAATTGTATTGTTTTTGCTAAAGCTTGTGAATATTTGTTCTTAATAAAAAGTGACATTCTTGGGCTTTCTTAAAAATTGTCACCAGAGTAGTCTGGGGCTGCTTTGACAATTGTTGTTGTTCTATTCGAAAACTATTCCATTCATATTTGTTCTTGATCCAGTGTCATGACTATTGTCTTTGTATTCAATTTGATTCTAAAATTCATTATTCGCACACCCCTAGTTTCTGAAAAAATGCCTCGGAAGCTATGGGGTTATTAAACACTTTGGAGGAACACTGTGATGAGAAAAACATCAGGGTATAAAGGGTTTTTTTTTTGTAGAGAAAGGAGAAATGTAGATTCATGACAAACCTTGTGCAGACGCCAGTCAACTTTACAAACAGATGCAAAATATCAAAGCTTTGTGGACACTTATGCTTTGAGACCTACGACATACCATACAAAGCTTGAAGCTATCTTTTATAGCTTGAATCTCGGTTCAACGAATTTTAACAAATTCGCAAATGAGAAGGGTTATGGAGAAATATTTTGCTCAAATTTTGGCAACAAAGCGAAGATATGGTCAAGTGAAAATCGCTATTGCCTACTTTGAAAGAACAACTCCAAATCAACCTAGACTTTTTGCTTCATAGTTGTTACTCGTGACCAATCATAAAATGCATTTTCTACCACCATGAAACCAAATTTCATGTACTTAGATTCTTTACTCAAAGCGGCCATCACAAAAGAGGATGAGTGTGTTAAACTTGCTTCATGAAAAAGAATCACTGTAACCAAAGGAGCACTTCTTGAGGAGAATGCACCTGATGCGCTGAATGCGATAGGGGAGGCCCGTAGTCGTGTAACGAGAGAATTTCGTACTACAGCGGCTGTTCTCAGTGCTATTTGGTTTGCTTATGGGTACACTCGTTACGTGCCATGACTACAATAAAAAATATTAAGTAAATAAATAAAAAAGATTGATCATAAGTTCCTGCGCAGGATATCCGAATTGTGCTTTCAGCACTTTGAGATACAGTTCGGTCTTTATGTTACAAAAGTTAACTTCAGCTGTGTTTGCACGAGATCATGAGATATCGCTCTGACAAGCTAAATGAGTGACCAATCTCTTCAGATTAAGCTCATACCCACTTGCTCTACATTTAACGATTGGAAAGTGTAGTGCTTAGGCACTTTTGGAGCGACAGTTTCAAAACCAAATATGTTCCTCCATGTTATTGGCGTCCCAATGTCATTACCCATTTTAGTACCGAGGCGTAACACAAGGTAGGGAAAAAGAATACGAGGCTGCTGCGTTCCTCTGCACTTCAATAAGATGCCTCCAAGTGTACTGCGTGTCCAGACTTAATACAAATTTGAAAAGGATCTCAGGCGAATCATTTATTTATCATCATAAGTGAAGTGGTTGTTCTCTTGCCCATGCTGTTTCTATTTTATTTCATTTTGTCATATAAGCAGATGTTTCAAGTTCAAAGATTGCCGTTTTTAGCTGCTGCCAGGCACTGCTGCTCAAGCTCTATGTGGCTTTGGCAGGCCTGATATGTGTACTACTTTTTGATAAAATGAGCAATAAAGATTACATGACTATTATTATTATTACTATTATTATTATGAATCTGAACTGGGAATGAAATACTGATTTTAGTAGACTTTATTTTTACATGTGTGAGAATAGCTGTAAATTTGAATAACATAATAAACTTCCCTTTGATGAGCCCTTTGGTCTGCACAAGCCATTACTCCGTAAAAAAAAAAGAATATTTATTTGTTTATTTATGAAATGTACCTCAAGGACCCTTTTGCAACAGGTATTCTGTGAAGAATGGGGAAACAAAAAACTTAATGTCTACAAAGTATGATTCAGCCTCATTTTTGAAAGGGGCGTGGTCGACGTAAAGGATGATGAGTTCAGAATTGGCTCTTCGCAAGCGTTATCATCGAATGCTTTTGCGCAGATGATGTAAGGCATGTCATGCTTTCATCGGTTGATACCAAGGCATTGTAAAATATAGAGTTTTCTAATAGTGTCTTGTCACAACTGGCTCTTTGAGAGCCTTATAATCGCATGTTTTTGCTCAGTTGATAGAAGGCATGTCACACTTTTATTTGTCGATGTTGTTGATGCTAAGGCTATACAGTGTAGAATTAGTATTTGAATCAGCTCGAATGTTTGTGCAGATAGAATCTTGTGATGAGCTTTGTCGTTACTTCTTTATGGCTGTCTATTTGGTCTGAGGCTCAAAATTCAAATTCTTGTTATATTGTATATATGTGTGTATATTTTTGCCATCTCATGTTGTCAGCATTTCTTGATGCTAGAAAAAACAGATACAGTGGATGTGCATTGTACAGTTTTTGCAAGATGGTTGTAGGCACTCAAAATAGGCTGCTCATTTTCTAAAGCATGTGAGATGCACAGCAACAGAATACCGAGGGCCTGCTCGCTCATGTTCATGCATGGTAATGTGACTGAAGTCACTTCACTTGGTTGATATTACAATGTGCAGACTACATATGTAAAACATGCTGTCATACTGGTACATGCAAACTGCACATTTGTTGACATTCTTTCTGACAAGTCTTTCGAGTTTTATTACCCATAAATGAAGGAATCTACAGAGAGTTTAGAGTTGTATTTTTCTAAGTTGTGAAAAGTTCTTTAGTATCTGTGACTACAAGAAACTATAATTCTACGTGAAGAGTGTACAAGGCAGCCCTCTATGAAGAGTGTACAAAGTAGTGCACCTCATTGGATCTGACTTTTGCAAATAGATAGCATGCTTTTTGTACCGGCCATTATTCCTCTACAATGCATTTGTATAACATTTGTAACGTTGTCATGTGTGCACTAAGCTTCACTACACGTTTCTTTTACCGACACTTAAGGAAAGCTACTTTCTAAAAAAGATTGTTTTTTTTATTCCGAGCCATCAAAGTTCCTCTAAAGTTATAGTTTTAAGTAATGCCGAAAGGCACAGAGGGAAAACAGATATGTGCATTTTGAACTGAAAAGTGTGAGTTGGTAGTTAGCGAATGACATAAAACAAAGTAAAACATACAAGCTTTAGGTCGTCGTTATATAGATATGGTAGCGTAACTTGGGAGTAATGCAGAATTGCATTAATTTTGATGCATAGTGTGTGATTGTCGTATCTGCAATGATTGTTTATGGATAAATTGACTGCAAGTGAAAAAAGAAAATGTACTTATGGCTGAATATGGCAGTGTACATGCTGTCACCTTAAATATTTACATTTTTGATGACTGCACACATGTTCACATATTTGCATAAATGAAACCTTTACTCCAGCCATTCTAATACAGTGGTTCAAATAATAATTAAACTGCTTTGCCAGTGTGCATGATGACTGCATCCAGTTCACATTGGCTCAACCTTTGTACTGCAGCACCTCAGCCTTTTTTCATTACTTATGTAAGCTTGTTGTGAGAAAAAGAAAAAAAGTGTGAAAGATGCAGTCAACTTGCTAGGAAAACAGAGCAAAGAAAGCTATAATGCGTGGCATGCTTTTCTGGAAACGAAACATTTCCGTATTCCTGTTTCTCTTTGTAGGAAAAGAAGTTTTTGCTTCAGAACAAGATGGATGATTTAAAAGACAAGAGCAAACAGCTAGTGCAGAATTTAGAAGGAAAAAGGCACGAATTCCTTCAGAAGTGGGAAGAAAAGTCAAGGGAATTCATCTTCAACTTCCTGGAACTCTTTGGCAGGGAAGGAAGGCTGGTGAGTTGCTATTTGCATTCTTTTCTGTGTTTTGCTAAAGATTATTTTGTACGCTTCAGCGTCCTTTGGTACATATAAGTTTTGTATTCTTGAAACACCACCCTAATTGTTAAATTTTGCACCACTACTTTGAGGGTTACGAGGAGGAAGCACTTGGGTGATTAGGGAAAAAGTGTTTCAGTTTATTGTGGATCATTCTGATAAAGAGCAACGTAGCATGCCTTGCTGACAACGTAGCGCGGCAGCAAGAAGTGGAACGACGAAAACCTCGAGACCAGCCATTAGGCTGAGAGGGCTCTCTCTCTTTTCGCCCTAATAGGAGACAGACCAAAATGGCGCTACCTTGTTGGACACAGATGACGATGGTTTTGCTCCGGGTGCATCCTCGCACTATATGGAAGTATGCAATCTGTTCCGACCACCTGCCAAGATGAGAACCCGACGACCGATGTCCCGAGACACCTCGCCGTACAGACCGAGCACTCCTGCTGGCTGCCAGACGCCGCCGCGTTCCCTGTCGCCACCTCTGCTTCCGATGGATCACAAATTGTCTGCTGAGAATCTCTCCGTGATCGCGAGCTCGAGGGGCATTCTTCCCAAATCTAAGAGCGACGTGAACGTCATCCAGCACAAGGCCCAAGAGGGCGCCATCAGAGCGGGGAGCAAGTCATCTGAAAACATGCAGCCTGCCAAGGCACCCAAACCATCTCTTCTGGCTAGGGTGGCTGACCAGTTGCAGAAGGATGCCGCCTTGCAGAAAGAACACAGTGATGCCAACTGCCAAAATGGCGAGCTAAAGAAGCCGATGCCACATCCTCCAGGGAACACCGCTCCTCCGCAAGGTAGCTCCTCTAAAGTATTATTGGAGACTGATGCCAAGTGTATTTCGCGTAGCATCTCCGATGAAGGCGTCGGTGTGGCCACCGTTCCTGTTGGAAAGAATTCTCAAGATGCATCTCCTTGTGTGTCGCTTCATGCTGTCCACTCGGGTTCTTCTGAAGTGCAGTCGAAGAAGGTTGTCTCCGGGCTGGCAAATGAAGACGCCGAGAAAGTGAATGCTAAGCCCAGCACCTCAGAACCAGTATCACATCATTTGCAAAGAGGCCTTACAGATTTCTACCTTTCTTACTCCAACCCTGCAGAAAATGATTCGGAAGAGTATGAAGTAAGAGAAATAGAACCAGAGCCTGATTACGTAGGTTCAAGTAAAGCTGAACCAAGTGCTACGGCACAGGAACCAAAAGGTTCCGCCAAAGTGCACGAGTCTTCGGTAAACAGTGCCATGGCAGTAGCCCGTGAGGTGACCACCCCTCAGCAAATGCAGGTTTCTGAGGTCAGTGGGGCTGAAGAGGCGTCACCCGGTGCAAAGCAAGGCACAACAAATTCTTATGTCTTTAACTTAAATCCTGTAGCAGTGAAAGCTGACAACTCTATTGACCCTGTTGATGAAACGTTAACCGTGACGGAATTGGATGCAGTGAAAGAACGACCTGGCTCTCCGGTGGAGAGGCGTGAGGAAACTTGACTTCAGGATAGCAGTGTTCCCAACTTCAGCAACGATGTAATAGAGTAAGGGCCAGCTTTCTCCACTTCATTGATTGATTTACACGAGGACAATAATTGGGGAACTACATTACACATACGTTTGAAGCAAAAACTCTGTTCGAAGACCAATCTCAACCACTATAATGCCCTCTGGATCGTGATAGGGCATGATGAAGACTATGCTGCACTGCCTTAGCGAACTGCAGTGGCCTATTGTGTATGTCTGTATGGAGAAGGACCATATTCTCTAGAAGCAAATTAAGATATTCCTTTCTCCGCTTTGTGCCTTGGGCCGCTTGCAGTTCAATTTCTACAAGATATCTAGTAAAAGATGATACATATTTACATTTACTTGAAGCCGGATTACAAGGTTCTCCAGTGAGCGTGTGTGCTTCCTTTACAGAAATGTGGCAAAAATTACAGTGCCATAAGGGAAGGGAGGGTGTACCGTGTCCCTAAATATGCACTGTCCTTCGCTGAAAGTTTTTGTGTGTTCACTAGTCAGTATGTAGAGCATGGCATTGCCGACACCCTGCCCTTGTTCTCTTTTCAAAATTTGTTGCAGCTAGCTGTCAAGGATGACCAAAGCAGTGGTCATGAAAGAGCACAGCAGTCGACCTTACCGTGACCAAGCTGTGCTCAAGTACACTTTGCACTGTATTTGAATAAAAGCCTGCACCTGTGGTGCACTATCTTAGCTTTTTTTTTTCTTGCTCCTAATGGTGATCCCAATTGCTTGCTTGCCCATTAATTCCCCAGAAGAACTACACATAGTATTTCCGCAACAGGTTATAACGCATGCATTATTGCTTCACCGTCGCGTAGCTATAGCTTCCTGTGGGAGAATAAGCATTTCCAGACTGTTATGAAGGTCCTTTCGAACATACGTAGTTAATCTGCCCCGAGTATGTTGAGCACTGCTTTCTTGCTGCTTTTGCTACGTTTTTACTGTGTATAGCGGACCTTAGCGGCAAGTGATGATACCAGCATCATAATACATTTGTGGTAGCTACTATAGTATTCTTTTTGCCATTGCCCAACAGTAATTTATTGGCTGCATTTGGTACTGACAGCATTTTGCATTGTTGAATATTTGTGCTTGTGACTTTACCTTGTCATGAATGTTTTGCGTGTGATTGTAATATAACCATGTACTTTATTTATTATGCATTTTTTGTTGTTTTTTATTCCAGTATTTGTGCATGCCCTGATGTACGTAAAGTGCATCAACATGTGAAGCGTGATCACTTGGCATAATGTGATGAACTCTTTGTGAATAACATGGCTCTTGTCAATTGGACATTGCTTTCCTTGAGTGCACTGTCAACTTATCACATCGTAACCGAAAGAAAAAAAAAATCAACAGGTGGTGGTAATGTTAAGCTCGCCCTTAACACAGTACAGTGCTCTTTGAAAAATTGTCTCTATACAGTACTTTGCTTAGTGTTTCCTAGTGTTAATAAGAACCTGGTACGATGGCACACTCCGAAAACATTGTAGTAAATCAGGGGGCCTCAAACTCGCTTCAATTGGAATCTTCAAACTCACCTCACCGGGGGGGGGGGGGGGGGGGGGGGGCAACACTCAGGAAATTTAGTGCCGCAAGGGCTGGGACAGTGAAGTAGGTTAGAGTGAGGAAGCATGGGGGGACGTGTGGCTTGAACAAAATTTTACCTAATTTTGGTTGAATTTAGACAAATGCCTTTCCCAAATAGATCATCTATGAGTCATTTCTGAAGTGAATTGTGTGAGGTTTGAGTAACATCCATAATGATCTCCAGAATGAGTAAAATCAATATGCCAATTCTGAGCATTGGAGATGTTGTCCCATGGTTATGCTTCCACTCATGGTGATCTCATCAGGTGCTTCATGAAGAAAATGCCAGAGAGCAGTCCTGTTTCTGCAGGTTACCCAACAAACCTTCACTAATGGCAATGGGCGAGAAAAAAAAAATGAGAGTACTATTTAGCAAGGGGATAAAACTATCTTGCTCATGAAGCCGCAGGCTGCTAGCGAAAGGTCTGCGGGCTGCGTGTTTGAGACCCCTGTAGTAGAGGGAGGTTGCAGTTTTTTAACCGTTTTGACTTGAAAAGTTGCGTGCTAAATGGATGTGGGGGAAAGTTTACGATTGTAGTCCAATTCTTTATTTAATGCCCGGAAAGAGATGAATTGAAGCATTAGATGTGGACTTGCGCAAATATTCCGGCTTTGAATATTCAATGAATGAACGAATGAGACTTTATTTGAAGTCCGGCAGTTTTAACGAGCGAGGTGGGGGAAGAAGGGATTAACCTCTGTCCCTTCCCACTCTCCGTCGATTATGATGGCGGTGCCTCAGGTGATCGCTCGAAGTCCTTGCACCCAGGCGGCACCTTCAGCTTGCCGGACGGCCCAAAGCTGGTCGGCCAGCTAATATATTCAAATTCACTTCGAATTGAATCTAAATTATGGAAAATTTTGAAGTCATGACAAATACACCATTTTTCTTTATAATATGCGATATGTGTACTATTTGAGTTTGATTCGATATTTTGACCAAAATCACTATTCGTTTCGAATTCGCTTCAAAGCTACAATTTACTATTTTCACAAGCTTAATAAATAGGTCAGAAAGGTAGAAATGGTGATACGATTCCTCAAACAACTTGGCTGGTGTTGGTTGTTCCTGATGTATATCTTATGAATGTGCATTGCGCTCTTCCTCATACAGAGTCGTATGATGCCAAGGAGCTGATCTGATTATATTAAATAGTGGAAAATTATCTATGTAGCATGATTTTAGGTTTTTACAAAGTTAAATTAAGTAACGAAACCATGTGGCTTTTTCTAGGATTTACTATCATTAACGTTTCAAGGATTACCACATTTCAGTTCACTGCTGATGGGACCACTGACTTGCATGATGGTGGCAGTAGGAAGGGAACAGTACAAGACAGTGCTGCCCCACGGTCAGCTTCAGGCAGTTTAATTTAGATTCTGTGGAAAAAAAAAATTTGGCAGCTCTATAGCAAAATATGCAGTATGTACAGTCGAAATGGATATGAAGTCGTCGTGAAATGCGAGAACAGAAAGAATACAACCGGACAAGCTGGATGGGTCTGTAATGCAGTTTTCACGCCTCTGTGGCTGCACAGTTTCTTGGTGCTCCACCTGAATGTGATGATGAATGATAAATATCTAGTCGGTGAGAAGCTTTATACCACTCATGTGTCACCCAATTTGCGTGGTGTGATGCCTGGCACTATTCTGCATTTATGACTTGCCATATTACATTCATTGTGACTCCTCGCCCAATCCGACATCCGCGTAGCTTTTTGAAAAGAAGTCTTGAACCACTCGTAGTTGAAAAGACAGTAACGCAAGCAAGGACAAGAAACACAAGGGAGTAGCACTGACTGCCAACTGCTTGGTTTATTGGGAAACACATAAATATACATTGGACTGGGGTACACAGGAAAAGAAAATTATCAAAGCACATGTATCCAGCTGTACAAAATTGTCTAGTCCAAAGAGGTTACTTATGAGGATAGCCACACTTCTTGTCTGTTAGATTAATCAAGGGCACACCTGCTGCGTCTTTGCACTTCATCGCAAAAGCTTCAAAGACTTCGCATGCTGTCTGGTCTTTGTATGTGCACAGAACCTGGGTCCCTTCAAAGTGTGGTATGCCGGCAAACTTAGCAAGTGGATGGCCAAATTATTGCTGCCTCTTTCCTTCAGGTTGTTCACATGTTTGTGCGGATGGTCGTTCAGGCAATGGCCCGTCTGTGTGGTATAAAAACGGCTACGCAATGTTGAGATGTTGTACACTCTTCACATGTGCATGAGACATAGTTCACTGAGCACATTTTTTACACGACACTTGCTAGCTGAATTCTTTTTAATAAACTTCTTGCAAAGAAAGCTCAGTTTGTTGGCGGGTATGAATACAACACTCCAGCGGTCTTATTGGTGTGGTAATAATTGGAATTTCAAAAGCATGGCCAGGCGCGTGCCCTCAATTACCGCACTTCTGTCAAAGGAGCTGTCATCAACGAAAGCAACATACTGTCTGGGTAGCTGCTCTTCTTCAGCCTTTGAAATTACTGCATGAGAATGAGTGGTGGAATGAGTGAACTAGGGCATTTTTCAAGGCCCCACTAGCATAGGCCTGCTTCACAATCTGAGGGACTCGAAAACTTTCGTGCTTCATCATAGACCATGTATTTTGCAGTCCATGCTAGTCCTATGTGCTTCTTGTCAGTGCTTACCTTGCATTTCTTTTTAACTATGTGTACCAATTGGCTCGCATTAACACACAAGTTTCAAGCACTGTTGCGAAGCACTTGACTGCCACTCAAAGTTCCTGGGTTTGATTCCAGCCCAATCACTGTAAGGTCATGCTTCGAAGGTCGCATGAGTTTCAATGCCGCACACTGCATTTTTCAAGGTCAGAGTCTCGTGAGGCACTTAAAGGGGCCCTGCAACACTTTTTGAGCATGGTCAGAAAACACTGCCAATTCGTAGTAGAGGCTCTCGACAACACGCGAGCCAAATAATATAGCGCAGCATGTGGCCTGGAATTCACAATAAATTATCAAAGTCAGCTAAAAATTGCTTTCTCTTCCCTTGACAAATGACAAAATACGCTCAAAAATCACTCATAGAATGCTCATCTACTAGCCGTTGGCGGATTTGAACATGGTGGGCTTGATCGTTACAGAGATAGCTGCAAAAGGCTTTCACTTGTCCAAGTGCGCGATTGCACTGAAAAAGCCACGTATTCGAAGAAAAAAAAAAAGAGAAAAAAGTGCTCAAGGTCACCAGGCGCATGTGATGTATTTTGTTTGCCCCTCCCATTCCTCCCTGCTTAGCTTCCAGCGCTTTCCTCGGGACGAGAGAAGAAAGAGTGCGATTGCAGCGTGTGACAAATCTTTGTAACTCTGCTCGTACTAGTTGGATTCTTGAAATTTTTGCGGCGTGGAATTTGTGAGGTAATACGCTCTTTCAGTGAGTCAAATTCATAGTTACTCACAAAGGTGTTTCAATGCCTTTGACTTGAAAACTTTGTCATGATTCTATATACACATATACTGCCACACAAGCTCAGGAATGGTGCTGGAAAAGTAAGTGTAAAAGTTGTTTTTTTCTGCCTCTAATAAGATGCATGAAAGCCGAAAAAATGATGAAGGCAGCTACAGGTTGCATGAACCCTCGAAGTGTTGTAGTTTTCTGAAAAATACTCATCAGATGATCAAATGACTTTATTGGGGCATTTGTATGAAATGACTTTACTAGGGCAATGTGTGAAATATGTAAACTCTGGAAAAAAATATTGTCAAAGAAAAAACAAACAGCATTTTTGAGTGAGCACTACTCAAATCTGCAAAACATTAATTAGTATTTGAGGGCGTGGTATTCTGTGAGAGATGGGTCTACACAGAGTGCTTTATTGCCATCTGCTCACAGTGGGCGTCTTCATTATGTTCTTGGAGTGACGAGTTGTGCTCGCAGATATATTGTATCTTCTCTGCTTGTGGCTGCCTTGGGAAGAGTAAGCTCGGTAATTAAGGAGAACG